CGTGGGCCAGGAAGTGAGGGCTGACACCAGCGAGGACAAAGACCTTCACCACCAATGTCCCCCTCACCAGGAGAGGGTGGCCTAGCCCACGAGTCCAGGACAGATTTTTCCTGTCTCATGATCTGTCTCTGCAGGAAAATGCTCCAGGAGACCTAGTCTAATCTCAGGGACACGTCTGCTCAGTCATAGGCCCCTCACTACCACAGGAAGGTCACAGCATCTGTCTTCTGGCCATGGCCGGGCATCTGTGGGCTCTGGGTTTAGGACGCAGAGATCACAGTGTTTTGACACCACAGTCTGGGAGTCTCCTCAGGGCAGACCTGTACTAGGGACCAGGAGTGGCCATCAGACTGCTGCCCAGCCAATGGGGCAGCTTGGGGGAAGGTGCCAGAGAATGGTCCTGACCCTGCTCCCGAGAACGGATGAGGAGGTCACTGACCCCAGAGTCTACACCTGAGCCTGCCTCACCCTAGGTAGAGGCCAGAGAAGCTTCTGGAATGGGAGTCACCTGCCCTGTTAGCTAAGCAACAAGGAGAGTTTGCCATTCCCAACAGTCAGCTACGCTCCTCACCCATGGGCAGCTGAGGTCAAGAAAAGCCTCCCTCTTTCTTAGCCCAGAAGACAGGCAACCATTGGCTAGGTGCGCTGAGAGCTGACAGGCCACTGGTGGCCACCACTGATACCAATGACTTCCATGAGGACCTCTGTGTTTTCTAAGTGTGTCCACTGAACAATCAGTGACACAGGGCAGGTGAGGGACAGATAGGGAGGACGGTTACAGAGGTCCAGGCCAGGATGGATGTCTCAGGGCATGTGGAAGACACTAACATGGCAGACACCTCCAAGAGACCTGGCCAGACAGCCCTGCAGGGAAGCACTTGCTACCCTGTCCTTCGCCACCTCAGCCTATGTAGGGACACTAAAGAAAGGACCCTAAGGATGCCTGAGGCTCACCCTACCCTCCTCCCACAACCTTGCTCTCTGCTCAAGGACTAGTCCCCAGGGCTGAGGCTCTCAGAGTCGCCAACAGCAGGTTCTGAAGAATCAGAGAGCTTGGCCTGAACAATCTGACCACCAGAGAAGGGGGTAAACCTGAGAATCTACACCTCCACAGACATCCATCCCAGTGTGTTCAGAAGGGCTGAGTGCTAAATGCCCAGATGTCCTAGGGTCACTTCTCTGCCTCTGTTCCTCTCAGTTCAACCCCACCAAGGCAGATAAGGAGAGAAAGCGGGGCCGGGGAAGGGAGGACACGTGTGTGGGCCAGGCAAAGAGGCAGCCAGCTTAGGAAATGCAACTTCTCCAAGGTGGCATGCAGGACGTGGAGTTTGGAGAGGGCTGCTGGCACCTTAAACACTTGGGAAGTCCCACCTGGTGATTTGTCTACCTTGACACTCTTCCCTGGGGAGTCTGAGAGTGGGGATGGCTTACTGGGATTCCCAATGTCTTCTCCAGGAAGCACTCAATACATGCCCTATCCACCAAAGAGCCACCTCCTGGGGAGCCCTTGGAGTGGCATTTGGTGTGCTGACAAGTGTGGCTTGGAGCCACAGGCACCACAAATGGGCCATCCCGGCCCGGGGATGCGCAGAGGGGGAGGAACAGTGTGAGGGGGAGACCAAGACGGCACAGAAATGGGCAGAGAGAGATGGCTTAGCAGCTCCTGGAGGCACAAGTGGAAACAGGGACCAAAGAGAAGATGGAGACAGCAGCACCACAGGACACAGCCACATTGGGCGGGGACACCCTCAGGTGGGAGCAGTTTTCCACCCTTAGCCCTGTTTCAGTGCAGAGCCCAGCAAACACAGTCCCTAGAGTCTACAGCCTAGCGGCAGAGCCTCACACGAGACGCAGCAGCAGTGTGGCTGACCGGAGACCACAGGTTGGTCCCACCATCAAATGACTGCAGCAGGACAACCGCCTTCCCTCAGCTCCCACAGTCAAAGGAGTGAGTCTGCCCCTGGTCTGTCCCCCGTGTGTGCCCCATTATCTATACTCCCAGCTCTCTAGGTAGAAAGGGAGTCACTAAGGACTTCTCAAACTGCTGAACCTCTGTCATTATGGCTACTACAGCTCTCACCAGCAGCAGCAGCAGCACTGTGGTGACTTAAATGAAATGGTCCCCATACCCTCAAGCATTTGAACACTTGGGTCCCAAGCTGGTAGCACTGTTTAGGGAGGCTTAGGCGGTATGGCCTTATTAGAGGAAGTGTGTCACCAGGGGCAAGCTTTGAGACTTAAGAACCACCTGCTACCCCAGTTTGTTCCCTCTGCTGGGAGTCTGTGGCTCAAGATGTGAGTCCTCAGCTTCCGGCTCCCATCGCCACGTCTGCCATACCTCTCTGTCACGATGGACTCCTATCCCTCCTAAAATGGTAAACCGGAGTCAACTTGTTCTTCTGTAAGTTTTTGGTCTATGAAGGCTTTTTATTTGTGTGTTTTACATCTCTAGAAAAAGAATCCCAGGATTTCCCCTCCTGTGTGTGTTTTTTTTTGTTGTTGTTTTTTTTGTTTTTGTTTTTTGTTTTTTGTTTTTCGAGACAGGGTTTCTCTGTGGCTTTGGAGGCTGTCCTGGAACTCGCTTGGTCGTCCAGGCTGGTCTCGAACTCACAGAGATCCGCCTGCCTCTGCCACCCGAGTGCTGGGATTAAAGGCATGCGCCACCAACGCCCGGCTCCTGTGTGTTTTCGTCTTGCTTCTTCATGGTCCATGATGCCAGCTGAGGCTGTCAGAACAATGAAGCCAAACAGACAGGGCGGGAGCAGACTGTTCTGCCATTTTTCTAGGTCTCTGAGCTGCACATCAAATCTAGACTGATCCCTCCACACTTGTTCAACCTGCCTGTGAGGTTCACCACTTTTTTCCCAGCTCGGTGGTCATTGGTGATTTCAAATTCACCAATGTAACCATGCTTCATCACCACAGTTAGAAACCGAACGATAACTTTGGAGCAGGGCCTGATGAGGACCTGGCGTTCGCCTCTCTTCTCGGAATTCCAGCCAGGACATTCATACGCACCATGGTGACGGCACGGAACCAGGCGGCAACGGTATCTTATCACAGCAACAGAAAGGTCACTGTCACTGCCATCACTAACATCACATCACCACCATGACCAACATCATGACCACCATCACCAGCATTACCATCAAAACCATCATCTCCATCAGTAACATCATTGTTACCACTGCTGCCATCATCATCACCAGGGATGTAGCATCCTCTACTCTCTATGGGACTGGGAACAGAGATTTAAACAGGGCCCCAAGTCTCCTTAGACCCAAAGCCTCCCACAACCTCACCACACTTTCTATTGGTATCTAACTGACCTTTGGTCCATCAGCCTAGAAAATTTCCTGAATGCAAAAATTCCAGCAAAACCTCTAGCATACCCACGGCTCTGTGCCACAGAGCTGTGGAGTCACACATCTGTCAGAAGCATGAGAAGGCCAGCTCACTGTGGGCACATAAAATGAGCTGGAAAACCACAGTCACAGACCAAGTCCAGCCATCCTTCAAGTTTGGAATGGACAGAGACTCCGCCCCGGGTGTTCCACTGAGCATGCACACACAAGTGTGTTTGTGTCTGTGTGCACATGTCTATGCAGGCCAGATGTCAATCTCAGGTCTTGTTCCTCAAGAGTCGTCCACCTTGTATTTTGAGACTGGGTTTCTCTCTAGGACCTACAGCTTGTTGATCAGGTAGGCTGGCTGGCCAGCAAGTCACGGGATCCTCCTGTCTACACCTCTCTTCCACTGGAATTACAAGTATGTGCTACCATGCCCAGCCTTTGGTGTGAGCTCTAGGGAATGAACGTGGGTTCTTATGCGGACATAGCAGGCACTCTATCAGCTTGCTGGGCATTCTTCTTGGGGTGTTTCACTTGTCTCAGCAGACTGGCCTCCCAGTCTGCGTTCTGCTTAAGTTAACTGGGAGGCACCTGTTTTGTGGGACAGCAGTCCCTGCTCTTGATGGTCCAGCCCAATATACCAGGGGGCCTGAGCTTTGCCAATCTGGGAGAGGAAGGTGGCCAGCACACAGTCTCTCTCTGCCTCCCAAACACCACACTCCCAGAATCCCTGGCCATTGTGTACTAGGGTCCCATGCATTGCCTGCATTTACATAACGTCTTCCAGAGATCAGCCAGCTTTTCCTAAAGGTAGACAGTGACACTGTAGGCTGCAGGCTGAGCAGTAATGGCTGTGTGCCAAAAAAGCTTTATTTACAGAGACAGAGAGCAGAACTACAAGCTGCCAGCTGCTGGCACTCTAGGCTCACTCTAGATACCAAGGCATGAAACCAGCATGGTGACCACTGGCTATTTCTCCTCTCAAATATCCATTAATGAAGAAGCAGAGTTCGGAAAGTTCCGTGGTTCACTCCATTGTCCTGGGCAGCCTTGATTTTGAAAATGTGCTCCCCTCCTTAATTTTTTTTATGTGTATGGGTGTTTTTTCTGCATGTATACCTTTATACCATGTATGTGCCTGATATCCATGGAGACCAGAAGAGGACATTAGGGACTAGAATTATAGATGCTTGTAAGCCACCATGCAGGTACTGAAAATCACACTTGGGTCCTCTGTAAGAGCAGCCAGTGCTTTTTTTTTTCCTTGTTTGTTTCTTGAGACTAGATTTCTCTGTGTAGTCCTTGCTGTCCTAGAACTCTGTAGACCAGGCTGGCCTCAAACTCACAGAGATCCACCTGCCTCTGCCTCCCCAGTGCTAAGATTAAAGGTGTGTGCCATTATATGCAGCTGTTGCCAGTGCTCTTAACTGCTGAGCCATCTCTCACCCTGAAATGTGCCTTTTAACCATTAAGACTACGGAACAGGGATGTCCCCACTAAGACAGAAGCAGCTAATCTGTTCCCATTCTGCACTGCTAAAATCCCTCTTCAAGTCAGATGCCATAGAAGGACCCCTAATGACACCCAGCAAGTGACCCTTGAATGCAGCGGCCTAGGCCCCAACGCCACGCAAACCACACCGTCTCTTACCTGACCCTTGCCTCGGCGCCGGTAGCTCCGCCTCACCAAACTCTTGTAGTTTTCATTCTTCTTGGTCAGGTAGTAATAGAGGACACACTCAGCCACTGTCTGTGGGACAGAGAGAAGACGCTGAGGAGTGTTGCATGGAAAATTCAGAGTAGGAGCCAGGAGTCAGAGGCCTGAGTTCAAATCCTAGTTCCTCTGATGACAAGCTGGGTGACCCTGGCCAATCTCAACCAGCTTGTGTGTGACATGCACAAACTGATCGTGTTCACCAAGTGTGTTATTCTGAGAAACACACAGGACAAAGCCTGGTGTGGAGTGACAGCACAGAGTCACAGGCTATCCACACAGGCCCTGTCCTTCAACTGTAGGTAATAGTGATGACACCCCAATAGGCCAGCTCCCACGGAGAACAGTCCTCAGGTACATAGAGCTCCATAAACCCAGCCTATGCCACACAGGGCTCTGTGCTCCCTCCCTGACACCCCAGGGTCCTGAACAATCTCTCCCAGAACTGAGGCATCAGGGACAAGAAGCGTCAATGGATGCATACAGGGGCGGCTGTGTCTGAGATGTCCAAGTCAGAGAGACCACGAGGACTCTGGAGTGGGACAGCCCCAGCCATCTATACATCAGGCCACCCCTGGAATGTGTCGTGAACACTGTGCCCCCAGGATCCCCCAAGCCAACCCTTGCCCGTACCCATGACCCACCAGAGAAACCGTGTGCCTGCCAGCCCAGGCAGGTGCTATTGGCCTGGCAGCGAGTAGTAAGATGACGAGCCCAACCTAGATGTCAACCCAATTGCTGTCACACTGCTTCACCCTATCGGCCTTTAGCAGGCAACTCGTGTCCTAACCCAGCTTCATCTAGGCCCTCGGAGTGCCTCTCCGCCTCAGATTCCCATTCTCTACCCTCCTCCGCATCCTTGCTCAATCTCCAATTTCTGAGGCACCCTGGCTCTACGGAACCCTAGCCTTCACCGAGGACTATTGAGCCGCCCACACTCAGGAGGACACATTACCAGCCAGGTAGGATATTTATAGGGCTGGTTCCCAACACTGGTTCTTCAGGTCCTGGATCCCAAAGGGTCCCAGAACATACCAGCCCCCACAACAACAGATATAAGGAATGATCACTGTCTTTGAAAATAGCTCTCTGGATCCTGTGTCCTACCTCCCACGGGCTGCCCGCATACCTGGGACTCAGGGCAGGGGGCCAGCCAGGTTGGTGGCTGGTGGACATCCCACTGCTGAGGAACTAAACACAAACTGCAGCCTCAAGGGCGGGCTACGGTAGTTTGGGGTGCCGGGCCCACAGAAGCAACGCCAGCACACAGTCAGTCAGCACTGCCACATGTCCACGCCAATGGCTGGTCACGTGCTGTCAGGCAGCCTAGCGTGTGAGTTAAGGCCAGATAACTGCCCTCTGGTGACAATGCCACTCCTTGCCAACAGGAGGCAGAGCTAAAACAGGACTGCTCCAGGCTCAGTTTTAGGGGACAGGTGGGATTCAAACATCAATTCCGCATGAGGGCTTATTCACAGTGATAGAGACATTTTAGCCACACACCAGAAATAGTATCCCAAGTGTCAGGAATCCCACAATACCCACGGCCTGGACTCAGGAGGTCATTCCACACAGAGTCCTGGATGCAGGCCATACCTGGCCACAAGGCCTCAGTTGGAAGGTGGCAAAACTCTCAGAACTGGCGCCCACCCCAGTGTGCTGGGCAAACAGCTAAGTGATGCCAGTCCCCACAGCCTTCCTGAACCGCCTGGGATTGAAGCCTGAGGCTCCTCCCCATCCCGGGTGGGGCCTGCATGGTTTTTCCCCCGAGGAAGGAGGAGACAAGAAAAAGATGGAGCTGGCCAGGGAGACAGAGGAGGGGCATGGACTCCACCCAGCACAGATACCAGCCCTGGGGAATGGATGGCAAGCCGGTCTAGTGCCTAGTACTGCCAGCCAGGAAAGGATACTCACCTTTCTCTCCAGGAATGAGGCGATCAGGCCAAAGTTCTTGGGGTGCTGCATGAACCTGGGAAAGGAGAAAGACAGGCGTTGAGGCCAGACCGAGGTTGAGGGAGGCCCCACAAGACAACCTAAGCTGAGAGTGCCCGGACGCCTGCCACCCCAGCCTGGCTTGGCGGGCACCGCCCCACTAGCAGATCTTCAGGGCGTGGGAAGGGCTGCGGGGCAGGGACCAGGGTCCAGGGCGTTCCTCTGAGTGACTCACTGGCTGTAATGCCTTTGAAAATACATTTGTTTGTCTTGCCGCAGGCTTCCAGGAAAAATGAGGACACGGCATTCAGCTTGCCAGTGGGGTCCCCCCCCCCACCAGATCTGTTTTTGTGTCTTTCTCCAGCTGGGTCTGAGAAGCTGGGCCTGGTCTGGTCCGGCCTAGCCCAGCCTATGCCAAGCCTGCCTGGATGAGGCCAGGCCAGCCAGGTGATAAGGCCTCCCGAGTACTGGACCAGAGCCTTGGATGCCCAGGAAAAGCCAAGAGGCTGGAGCCGCAGGGGGTGGCGGGAACTGGCGCCAAGCCACCAGCTTCCTGCGAAGGCTGAGCATTACTGGGAAAGCCAGCCAGCTGAAATGTCAGGGCCAGGCAGCCAGGCAGCCTTGGGGGTGGGGATAGGGTCAAGGCCTGCTCACACCCCAGGGGTGCTGAGTGGCGTCACTGGGCTTGTCCCCTTGTCTCTAACAACTTGCCACCACCCCGGTATCTCCTGGGGCAGAAATGGCTGCCAGCAGCACCGGGTGGTTCCCACCAGAGCCTGGCCTGTGTTGGGCTGCCCCGCCTGGCCTCCAGGTGGCCGGGCAGCAGGCCAAAGGCCCCTCCCGCTCCCCCCGCCAGACACTGGGGAATCCGGAAGGGCCTCTTAGCTCTTCCCAAGGAAGCCATGGTAGCAGGGCGGCAGGATGGCGGGCTACTCTGCCAGGGCCCCGCCTACCCAGGTGGCAGGCAAGCCTGGGGCCCCTACTCTTGCCCTGCAGGCAGTAATGGTCCCCAGGACACCAGGGATCAAAGCTGAGACACTTAGGGCACTTGTCCCTCTTCCCATCTCCAGTTCACTGGAGACAGGTAGAACCGGGCTTGACGATACAACTTGTAACCTAGCAACTCAAGAGGCTGAGGCAGGTGGACAGCCAGATTGAGCTACAGTGAGTTCCAAACTAAACAGGGTAATTAGGTGAGACTTTATCTCAAAAGTTATTATAAAAGAAAAAAATTAAATCAAGTGGCTCAGAGGTAGCCTGTCCTCAGAGGCAGGCACACACGAGGTCCTGGGTTCAGTCTGGCACTGGGCACTTCATGCCGCTGCCAAAGAAGCATACATGCCGTTCTACATCTATGGTTCAACTAATCCCAGGTCAGTAAGGCTCCAAAAGGAAGTCACCCATAGCAGTACATGCCTAGATTCCCAGTACTATGGGTTGAGGCAAGAAGTCCCAGAGTTCAAAACCAGCCTGTGCTCATAAGGCTGCACTGGCTTAAAGGCAGGCCATGGTGGCTCATGCCGGTGATCCCAGCATTCAGGAGGCTGAGGAAGGAGGGTCAAGACCAGCCCTGGCTAGACAATGGGTCTGAGACCAGCCCAGGCCATGAAGACTGTGTCTTAAAAACAAAGCAACTATCACAAAAACAAACAAACACCAGGCAATAGAAGTTTTACACATACATAGGTATGCACACGTGCACACAAACCACCTGGCCAAGGAAAACCATATTTGGCGTTCCTGTGTTACAGTCTCTTAAATAGCACTGAGTAATGGCTGTGACTGACCCTGTGATAAGCATGGGAACACATGGCTCTTATACAAGTCATCACCCTTTCACATAAGGGACAGGGGGAGCTTTTTGTGCTAGGGCTCTTAGGATCTCTCGGGCAGAAGTGACACCAGCAGTACCAGGTCGGTTCCCCCAGAGAGCAGCCTCTGTTGGGGTGCCCTGACATGAAGCCCCCATGGGCACTAAGAGGACACTGTATGGCCGTGCCTATTTTACACAGGAGGAAACTGAGGCTTGTCATGCTGTTGGTAAGTGGAGGAGCACTTGCTATCAGAGCCTCGAGGCCTCCATAGAGACCAGGACCCCTAAAAGACCCACTTAGTGAGGCTGCATCTTGCATAGACAAAAGATACACCGGCAGACATCAGCTATGGAATTACCAGAGTAAATCACCATGCCTGAAGAAAATTAAAATACCCAGGAAGGTCCAGTCACACAAAACACTCCCAAAGTGCTTGGCCTACCAGGGGAGCTGGGCCTCAGTCACCTCAGGACCCATGACTGTCCTTGGCCATATCATACAACATACAAGACAGAGAACAGGAGTCCAAGATACAAGCCACGAAGAGACCAAGGACAGGAGCCCCTGACCTGAGCTGCCTGTGGGAGCAGCTCCTCAGGTTATGTTCCCTGCTGACCTGTGCTGGGGACATGGAACTCACTCTACCACCCCTCTGAGGATGTTTTGTGTTCCTGGGGCCAAAGGCTCCTCTGAAGACTGTCACTTGTGCCTAAGCACTGTGCAGCTACCAAGCCTTGTCTGTGATCTGGGGTGGGACCAGCCTGTTGTCCGACGCCATTCAAAGGGCAAGTACAGCCTGGCCCTAGACAATCGTTCCCGCACTAGGCATAAGGAAAAATTCTGGGGCAGACAAGGGCAGGAGGGGAAGCAGGTCAGCCTCACAGGGACCTCGCTCCCAACAGGCCCTCCTGGGCAACATGCAGGCCTCTGCGCCCACCTCACTTTCCACTTTCTTGCCTACTGCCCTGGTCCTCTCTGAGGAGGGGGTTTGGCCTCTAGGTGGAGTGTTTGCAGGACACTGTTTCAAATAACATACCATGAAACCCACCACCTCTCCTAGGCTCCCCCCCAAAAAGGGATGTCTCTTTCTGCCTAGACACCACACCTCAGGAGCTCCACACTCATCTCCTCGAAACTGTCACTCAGAAGCTTCCTGGAGTTTTGGTTTGGTTTATTGAGACAGTAGACCAGGCTGGCCTCAAACTCAGAGGTTCACCTGCCACTGCATCCCAAGTGCTGGGACTAAAGGTGTGGCCACCACAATCCACTGAGCTTTACCTCCTACCAAGCCCTGTTCCTGTCCTGGCTGCCACACACACAGTCTCTCCATCCCAGCTGGTCAGCTGTACCCTGCCTCCACACATGCAGCTCTGTGGTCCCTGTTAGGTGTCTTCACCTCTCTGAACCTATGTGGGGGGAACTGCCTGGTTCAACACTGTGGGAGACAGATGTCCATGGAGATGGAGGCAGAGACAGAGGCCAAGGACCCCAGTGTGCCACCGGAGCAGGGAAGAGTTCTGGACTCTGGACAGGCTGTCCCTGTGACTAGGGTGTGAGAACAGAGAGGACACGTGCAAGGATCCCAGGCAGCCGTGGAGGACACTCACTTCTCACGGAAGGTGTCCCTTTCCTGCTCACTCCACATGTTGGTGACCTGTCGGTCCTTGTACACCTTCATGGGGTCGTCCATGAGCCCGTTCATGTTGATGAACTTGATCCTCTGCTGGTCCGCATCATACAGCATGGGCGGGATCACCGCCAGCTGACGCATCTGCTTCTCCAGGTTCTGCAGCAGAGCAGAGGGTGGGGTCAGAGGGCAAGTGCAGGGCCTAGCAGGTGTGTGTGTGGGGAGGGGGGGGGTGTCCTGACCCTCGGACATTCCTGGGGGTGGGGGGGTAAGATGATGAATTAACAGCCAGCAGTGGCTGGTGCTGGGATGTCAGGAAGGCAGAGCTGTAAATCCTGTGCAGAGAATGAGGCCTCATCTGCAGCAAGAGAGGCCATGAATCTCACAGCCACCAAGGCAGTGTAATAAAACACTGTGGGGGCAGAGACAGGGCATGGACCAGCCCGGCTCCACACTCACGGGATGGCACACGTCCGAGTTGGAGCCAGGAATCCAGAGCACAGCACAGGGCATGCAGAGAACCTAGCACCTTCCTGCCTAACCCTCACAACCAGAACTCTGCATCATGCCCTGGGGATGAGGCCTGCCCTGTACTTCTGTGGCCGCCTCGCCCGTCCATGTTAGGGTAATGCCGCTGACTGTCTACTGACCAGCATTTTCTGATTCCGACCCAGACTCTGCCTCCAGCCTTGCTCTACTAATGGCTCCCCCAAGAGGCGGCGGCAGCAGCACTCTTGTGTGGCTAGGACCCAGGGAAGGGTCCAATGTGTGCGTGGGCAAAGCCACCTTCTTCCTGCTTCCACAGAAAAAGAAATCCACGTCTGCATCCTAGAGATGCGGGTGAGGCTGCCACATCAGTGGGACAGGTACTGAATCCAGCCACATGTTCGCCAGCAAAGACGGCCCCACGGTTGCAGCTCGTGGCTTTTCAAGTTCTGCTTTCTGTCCACAAAAGAAGGGGAGGTTTCCCAGCAGAACTATGGCAAAAGGACGTCACTTCGAGGCCAGGCATCTGGGGATGTTACACTGCGGTGGGGTGCAGATCCTGAGCTGGTTAGGCTGATAGGGACTGTCCCTGCATACAAGGAGACAACTTCAGCAGCCATACCGGGTGCATGCTCACCTCTGGATGGACCAGGACTCTTAGCTCGGAGAACAGCTCTAATGGTCACTCCACAGCCCCAAAGGTGTCACTGACTGCTCTGTCCAGCACCCCATCTTAGTTTCCATGTAAACAACCTCAAGGGACCCAAAGGGATGGCGTGCTCTGGCCACCTCTACCGGAAAGTAGAGCCACTGGGAAGGAAGCAAGGGTCAAAGGGCACATGGCATTCTGGGTTCACTGTGGTGCTGGTCACGGGGACAGATGTCATGCTGGACACCTGGCCCACAGCCCAGAGGGCCCCACTAGAGGCGAGCATCTTCTCTGCTTCATGGCCTCCTCTTGCTGGGATGGTGACTATAGGTGGGGTCACCAATACTGGCACTGTGCCCCAGGAAGGACCAAAGGCTGGAAAAAAGGCTTCTATAGGCCAGTCCTCAGCTGGCCCCACCTGATCCCAGATGGCCAAGGTCAGCCAGCAGAGATCATGAAACACGCGGTGGGAGAAGAGTGAGGGGTACCCTATCCCTGTCTTCCAACCAGACTCCTGATGCCCTTAGCTCTGTTCTGCCAGGCTACGTTTCACAGTTTGCTGGTATCTCTATCAACTCTACACTTTGGGGGACAGGCATGGCCTGGCATGGCCACTGGCTGCCGGCGCGCCCACAACCCCCCACACTGGTTCTGACACGTGCCCACAACTAGTCTCTGGATTGAAAGCTTTGGCTTCCTTTCCTGCCGGCACCTGCCGCTGTGGCCCGGAACACGTGGGAGGGCCACGAAGACGGACATGCAGAAGCGATGGCTTGCCAATGGCATCACAGTGGACTTACCTCCTGCTCAGATAAGCCATCAATGATCTCGGAAACCTCGTGTTCACTGCGGGCAGCTGACATGGAGAGTCCGCTGCCTCGTTGGCCCACCCTGCTGGAGACCAGAGGGACACAGTCGGGATCAGTCATTCTACTGAGAGGCTAGGCAGGACATTCTAGAGGGTGGGTGTGGATGAATGGGGGGGGGGGATCAGGACTAGGCTTCCTACCCTCACATCTGATCACAGGCTTGGAGACCAGCAAGGCTGGGGGAGCCCCCTCAGGAATGCCAACCCCTGAGGCCATGGGGTAGCAGCCCATCCCATTATCCACTCTGACAAGGGACAAAGACCCTCCAGGAGCCCAGCGGTGCCTCCAGCCTGAGGGCTGGATGCAGGTCTCTGGCCTCAGGTTGGCTCATGAAACCCGTGTTGCTGGGGGTCTGTGAGACAAGCTTGGTGAGCCTGCAAACGCAGGTGGTCATACTACTTAGCCTGGCCAGGCTTCTGCCCTTGTGGCCACAGTGGGGACAGGCACCTGCACAGGAGCTGCGAGAAGTCCCCCAACCCCCTAAGTCTAACTCAGCGGCTTGGGGGGCATAGGAGGAGCAAGGACAGTAGGGACACACTCATGAGTGTAGGGGTTCAGCAGGTGCTAAGGGTTCCTAGCTGTAAGTATGAAGCACAGTGATGCCACTCTGTGTGACACAGGACACCAGGAGCCCTCATGGACCAGCTCAGCACTCACCTCCACATGCACACACCCCTGCATGCATTCTCTTACATGGGCTCACTCTTATGCCCTCACTTCTCCATTCACTCACCCCTACATGCATTCTCTCTAAACGGGTTCCTCTCTTCACCCTCACCCCAGAACCACCTCACCCCTGCATGTACCATCTCTATGCAGCCCTTACTTCTGTGTGCACTCACCCCTGCATGTGTTCTAACATGGGCTCGTCTCTTCGCCCTCACCCCTGCACACCCTCACCCCTGCACGCACCATGCTCTGTGGAGCCCTTACTTCTGCATGCGCTCCTGCAGCTCCCGCTGCTTGCGGATCTCCGGGAACTGCTTCTCGTAGTACTCCCGCACCTTGCTCTCCTTGGCTCGCCTGCGCGGGTTGTTCTCAATGCGCTCTACCTTCTTCTCCCACGCCTCCATGAGTTGGTCATAGCGCTGGCAGAAGCGCTGCTCCTGAGGGGACATGGCCAGAGGCAGCACGCTGGTGAGGGCCAGAGACTGCCCACCGTACTCACGTGGACAGACGGAGGACAGACAGGTGCACAGACTCTTCGTCGCACTCAGAGCTCCTGGCCACTGGGAAGCCACGCGTGCCCCACGGGTACCCCATGGCCACTTCAGAGCTGGGTCTCCTCTGCGGGGGCCTCACCAGACTTGGAAGCCACCAACCCCACCACATTATTCTCAGTCACACAACCAAATGAGAAACAGTCCTGGACCAGGAGGCTGGGCTCGTGCCCTCTGCTCATACTGGCTCTCATGGACACTGTACAGCAATCAAGCCAAGTCCCACCACTGTAGGAAGCTGTCCTGGGCGGCATGGCTCTGTAGAACTCTTTATGGCCCAGGAAAGGCGTCCCCAGGAAGCATCCGCTTTCTAGGCAGTCCGTCTCTCGCCCTTGGTCTTTGGCGTGGCCACACTCCCCAAGCCTAAGAGCCAAAGCCCTAGCAGACATTAGAAAGAAGGTTCTGCCCTCCTCTGCAGGATGAGGAAGTCCCCCTCCCTATCTAACCACCAAGCTGCCTGCTGCATATCTCCCAACCAGCCACAGCAAAGTATTCTGTATATCTTGAGACCATTTCAAAACTCCACCTCTAGCAGCCACAGGAGCATAGGAGACCTGGTCATACAGCACCCGGATATGTTCTTATGCCCCAATACTGCCAAAGTGTGCTTAACCTCTGACCAGGAGCACCCTGTGCCTGTGGGTCAACAAGAGGTGAACAACAGTCTGGGGTGTGGGACCCCCGCTGAGGGAAGAGGGCTGGGTGCCACTAGTCCAGCCCAGGCCTCTTGGCTCCCACCCAGAGGCCCAAGGGGAAGTAGAGAGAACACTCCTGAGAGCAGAGAATAGAGACAGCAGGATACCAGAGCTGACGTCAGTCGCAAGCTGGGGGCCAGAGCTGTCTCATACCTTGCAGACAAACAACTGGGCCCCAAGACCTCAGGAATATCCTACATTTACCACAGTCCCAGGCAACAGCACAAAGCCCCAAGCAGTTTCCCAGGAGGAGGCTCTGTTCGACACAGGACAGTCCCTCTCCAGGTCTAACCACAATGTGGCCTGTATCTACTGGGTAGTGTGTGCACTTGGTCCAGAGGAGCCAGGATCCAGGGACAGCAGGACACTGCTCACAGGGAGGGGGGCTTGGCCAGGGGAAGAGGCAGACCTCTGTCTCTCAGCCTCTGCTTGGTGGGAACATGGCTAACGTTTCCAGCACAGTTGGCCCTGCAGGAAGCAATGAGGCAGGCTCCTCTCTGGGTAGCACCAAGAACTCCCAGGGACCAGCCTTAGCCCTGGGGTTTACTCATGACAAGGTGGGTAGCAGAGCTTTGTAGACAGGCCCACGGCCCAGCCTCTCCTGGCCTTGCTGGAAAATGAGAAAACTTCGTGTCTCTTTCTCATGCTGCAACACGGAGGCCTTCCTTCCCTAAGGTGGGCCGGCTGGGCTGCAGAGCCCCTGGCTCGGAGGCCACAGAGTCCTGGAGCTTCTTTATGAACCCGAGCCCACCCCAAATTCTCCTCCACTTCACTGGCTCCTTCCAGGAGCTGCGGCGACCTCATCAGATGAGGCTGGAAGCTCGGGCAGGCAGTGGGTGGCATGTAGATGTAACAGGGTGGATGGCAGGGTTGCGGGGAGTCGAGCAGACCTCCACGCTTGCCCTCTCCCCACCCAACAGCAGCAAGGGGCCTGTGGTCTGCACATGGTGACCCTGGAGCTGGCCAGCCTGGTCTTAGGGTCATCACCGTCTTCCTGGATGACTGAGGAGCTGGACAGTGCACATGTTCTATACTAAAGCAGGTCTACTGTGAAGGTGCATGGTAACCCGGAGTTGAGGATGACCCCTGGGCTGGCTCCTGCCCCAGCTCAGAGAGATCTGCACACGAATAGCTTGCCCTTTCCTGCTCCTTGTCTCTCGACATGGCCACTTCTCCTCTGCTGCCTAGGACCTCTTCCCCTCCTGAGCTTATCTGAAACCTCATTTTCTGCCCTAGAATTCAGGGCACGAGCTGCCTACCCAGGTGGATCTGAACACAAGACTCGGGAACCAGGAGCCAGGTGCCAATCCAGCCTTACTACTTCTCAGCTGTGTGACAAGGAGCAAGTGACCTAAACTCTGTCTCGGCTTCCCTGCTGAAACACGGGGCTGGGAAGACAAACCCATCTCACGGCACTACGCACCGCTGAGGGGGAGACTGCTGGGGTGCAAAACCTGTGCATAAAACTTGGCCCCCAAAGCCCGTGCCCACATAACTGGGATCCACACGCACAGCAGGCATTCAGTAACTGCGGCTGAAGGCACCTAACTGGCGACTGGCCTCCATCTCTTCCCCCACAATTCGGATTTAAGCATCATCACCCGGCTTCAAAGCAGCGCGTTAGCTGCTGCATTCTGTGTGCTGCAAACCCACAGGCTCTAAGAACCACTGAACAGCCCTGCCATACCAGTACCAGAAGTACCAGTAGTACCAGGCCAGCCTGAGCAAGAAGGAGGCGGGGACCACCTTGTGGCCCATCTGACATGGCCCAGTGAGGGTTGGGTGCAGAAGAGCATAGCCCGTGAGGCCGGCCTCCACCCTGCCGGCCTTCTCCGTTCTCCTCGGCTCACCAACCTTGCCGCCCCCGCTGTCTGCCAGCAGCCCCGGACTTGAGAGAAATGATGACATCAGCCAAAGCCTGATGCTGGTTCAGAGCTGGTACGGATTTGAGCCTAACCAGAGCCCGCATGCAGAGCCCAGGAAGGGCAATGCTCCCTAGACTCAGGACCACTGGGCAGATACTGTGTGGACATGGCGGCACAGGGAGCTGCAGCCATGGAGGGAGAGACTGACGCGACCTCCCCTGATGTCAGCCCCACAACTTCTTAGCTGCACAGTTCTGGCACTGTGCGAGCAGGGGCGACGGTAGAGCGTCACTCCCTCCCTGGCAGCTGGGGTGACAACAAGGACCTGGGCTCCATCCCTTAGGCCTGGTCCCCTGTGGGTCAAAGTGCAACTAGCTGCTCAGAGTCCCGCACACGGCTAGCCTGCTTAGGAAGCAGTACCACCCGCCCACCACAGACCAGGGGCCTCGCTGCTTTCCAGAGCCTGAACCTGGCTGGGGAGGGTGGCTCATTTTAAGGCCTTTCTACTTCCATCTCTCCCTGAAACCTCCCTGGGTACAAAAGCTCATGATGGGCATTTTGGAGTGAATGCAAGGCTCCCTTCTTGGCTTCAGTGGCTCCCCCATCCCTAGGACTTCAAGAGAAGGGGTTAGGAGCCCCACCCTAGGCCCCAACCGCCACAGCAGCTGCCGCCTCTATGGCTCGTCTACAGCATTCTTTCATGACCCAGACATCCATCCTAACAGCTGCAGAGTCAACAGGGACCTTGGGGTCTGACTCTCCGTTGGCCATGGGAGCACAGGGCCTCAAGCCCTGTGGAAGAGAAGGGACAGGGATGGGGAGGGGGAGAGGGGGCTTGGAGAAGGACAGAACGGAAGCAGGGCTCACACGCTGTCTGCCCACGGTGTCGAGGGGACAGAACAGGACTCACCCACTGCTTTCATATGTCATGGAGGAGACAGGACAGGAAGGGGCTCGCCCACTTGCCTGTATGTGGTATGGAGGGGACAGGATGGGACTCACACACTGCTTGTATATGGCATGGAGAATACAGGACGGGATTCACCCACTGCTTGTATATGGCATGGGGGAGACAGGACGGTACTTACCCACTGCTTGCGTGCGTGGTTCCTCCGCTTGAAGTACAGGATGAGCTTCTTCCGCATCGCCTGGTTTCTGGGGAGCACAGACAGGGGTCAGAGGTGGCAGTCATCAGCTGGTCTTCAGTCAGATGGGAGCCCACTCCCCCTACTTTCCTCAGAGCCCAGTTCGCCCCACAGGGCTCCCAGTATCCGCCTCCCAACCCCTTCAGCCTTGACACTTGCCAACCTGCACCATCCTCATCCGTCTGAATCACAGCTGTGGGTACCAACCAACAAAGTTCACCCCCTGGGTGCCCTGGCCAATGAGCAGCTAAGGGCTGCGAGGGGTTCCCAGCTCAGGATAGACAGCCAGGCTCCCCTCAGCACAGAGCAAGCAGCTTGACCACACAGACCGCACAAGGTTCTGCAAGTACTACTGAGGAAAGGGGTGGGGAATTCTGAGAGGAGGAGAGCAAAAGAAGGGCGGAGACATGGGGAGAGGGATGGGGAGAAGCTGGGAGAAGGAAAAGAGAGGAAGAGAGCAGAGGTTTGCCTCAGAATGGACAAAGGTTTTGAAAATGGAGGTGGAGGGTAGGAGAAAAGACACAGACAAGGCAGGAGAGTTCAGACTGCAAAGAGAGAACAGATGTCCTGAGACAAGGCACGGCAGCAATGGGATGCAGGACTCCACCCCCCACCCCACCACTGAGCAACAGAGGCCTCAGTACCCCCCAGCTCCCCACAGCCCTACTACGCAGAGCTAGGTGCTACAACCAGCAGACAGGCCTTGGGGACTATCACACCCCTGAACTTGCCCTCTCCAACCTGGGCTTTTCTGGTGAGGGATCCCCAACCTCCCCACATTGCCAGCATGCCCCAATCCAAAGAGCTTCCATTGCTGGGAGTCACCTTGGAGTGAGAGCCTAGAGGTCCCAAGCCTGTGACTCCAGATGTGGCTTGGTGGGTTGAGTGCTAGCCTAGGGAGCACAGCCCCACACCACACGAAAATGGTGGTCCACACCTGTCATCTCGGCATTTGGGAGGTGGAGGCAGAAGAATCCGAGCTTCAATTATTCTCTGCTGTACAGAGAGTTGGAGGAGATTGTGGGATGGTGGAGACCAAGAATAAAGGGGGCCAAGAGGTAGGGGAGGGAGTATACAGCCACCTCTTATTGAAAGAACGGAGCTACCACCAATCCTAATGCACCAGTATACAAAAAAAATAGACACTTCGGTGGAGACAAGGGGAGGACTTCTGCGAACAGTCCATGGAATCAGTTAGCCTACTAACCATGGACATGGGTTTTAGCAAAATGAGTTGAGGGGAGCTGGGTTCCAGGGCTTGGCAGGACGAGATGAGGTTCAGGGAGGGTCTGACCCCATCTGTGCCAGGGAACAGTAAGACAGAGCCCCACACATGCCTGGTCAAGCTGGGGGCAGGGTGTTAGAAAGCCCGTGCCTACTGTGGCAAAGGAGACCAGCCTAGCCTACTAGTGGGTAAAAAACGTGACTGTCTGAGGTTGTCAGGTCAGGACTTATGGACTGAGTCTCTCAAGGCTTTGGCTATATGAATCTGGAGAAAGTTTTTGGCACCTCTGAATCTCCAGAGCAAGACCAGAGACATATTCCCAATAACCAGGGTCCTCTTCCTGCTCATCCCACAAATGAGACAGCAGGCCTAGGATACATGGGAGAGGGGAGCCTCCTAGCCCTGACAGACCTGAGGACCAAGGCCCTGCTGGCAGAGACTGAATAGGTACATAAACTTTGGAACACCAGGAGGCTGCTAACCTAGGCTGGGTGGTGGCTGCCAAGCTCCATCTTATGCTCTGAGACTTAATCTGCCATCCAGTCATTGGCCACTCCCGGTGCTTCTGCAGTGTCTGACAGCCTCCTGCTCTGCCCTCCTCCAGCATGACCTGGGGGCTGCCTTCCCTCCGTTGGCAATTTAAGAGGTTCAAGCCCCTAAGGCCAGACTCCCAGTCCAGGCGGCAGGTTCCCTGGCATTAGCTTGGCAGCTACTGACACTTTCCAAGGCAAGGCAGAGGAGGCGAGCGGCGTACAAGTGACCTCCACAGGTCTGAAATCACCCACACCAGGAAGCCAAGCATGAAATTAACTTGAAAGTCATGGCCAGGCATGCAGGCAGAGAAATTAAAATGACAGGGGCCAGGTCCCCAGGGAAGGGAGACTTCCCACCTCAGCAATTACAGCAGACAGCCAAGGAGCAGTGATGGCTCTGCCCCCTGGGTGGTGGAACTCCCCACCAGCCCCTGGATCAACCTCACTGTCCTTGTCACAGCTGTCACACTCCACATGAGTACCCAGCTTGCCCATCTCCCCATTTCAGGTGAGGACCCATTCACAGCCGTCTCCCAGGGACAGGCAGTGCCTGGCGAAGACCAGATACACAGAGACATGTTTGATGAATGAGCACAGAATAGATGAGGAGTAACTGTCTCTATGGTCAGGGACTCAGAGCGACAAAAGCCCCAACGCCCCTCCCACATTCTGGTCAGCTGTCAACGCGGGCAGGGGTGTTAACTCAGAGGGCCCTCAGCGGCCTCAGGGCTGCTCCCACCTTATAGATGGTGAGACGGAGGCCCTGCTCTGTGGCACTCACGCACCGCAGACCTTGGTTTTCCAAGCAACAAGTGGCCGCCCAGTCTCCTGCCTGTCACATGCCAAGCCAAGACACCGATCTAGGACTGCCTACCTCCTGGTGATGAGACACTCACCACCCCCACCAGCAGCTCTGACAATACTGTTTCGGGCAGGGTGTGCTTGTTTGTCCTGTTCTTGCTAGGTAGCCCAGGCTAGCCTCAACCTCACCCTTACAGTCTCAGCCTCTTGAGTGCTGTGATCACAGGCACACCCCCAAGCTGACACCACTCGGTCCACTTTATCAGAACTGAGTCCCGGCAGCCATGTGATGCCAAAGGTCCTGGCTCTTCCTTCAGGGACGCTCATTTCCCCCAGTGACTCCCCCGCCCCTAGGGAGCTAAGCAGTCTGACTCTTTCTCACCCAATTAGGCAGTAGCCCCAAAGGCCCCCAGGCCTCAAGAAGGGCCTTACGCCCTCAGGCCTGGGAGCTCCTGACACTTCACCTGGGTCACACGGTTACTGCCTTCCAAGCAGCTTCCAGGGCCTGAACTTCACTGTGTCATGAGGCATGCTACCCAGCACCCCTCTGGGAAGTCTCGGGCCAGAGGAAACCACCCATACCTTCCGAGCTTGAACTGCACCCCACCCTGTCCAACCTGGGACTATGAGCTACTGGGACAGCCCACCCCCATGCATGAGAAATACCCAGACAGGGAAGGGGCAGGGAGAAAACAAGAGGGATCCTTGACCAGGAAGAAACACCAAGCACCAAGCTCCACCTAAGTGATGCTGCGCTGTTAGACCCATGCTGAGCGGCCAAGTAAAAGCTGTTCAGACTTTAAATGGTAAACTGTATGCATACTTTGTCCAAAAGCTGTTTTAAAAAAAAGAAAAGCTGGGCAGTGGTGGTGCACACCTATTGTCCCAGCACTCCAGAGGTAGAGGCAGGAGGATCTCTGAGTTTGAAGCTAGCCCGCCTGGTTTACAGAGTGAAACCCAGGACAACCAGGGCTACACAGAAAAACTCTGTCTCAAAAAAAAAAAAAAAAAAACAAAACAAAAAAAAAAACAAAAAACAAACAAACAAACAAAAAAAACAGATTCCAGGACCCCAGTGTCCCAGCCCCAGGTTTCATTGTCCCTCAGATTCAACCACAGGCCATACCTAGGTAGCAGGAATGGAGTCAAAGGAGCCAATGGCCCCAGCTGAAGTCTCTTTGCCCCCAGTGAGTGATGGCACTGTTTTTACCTTTCAAGGGGTGGCTCTGTGTTATCACATATTGCCCTGGGCTGAGAACCGGGACCCCATGCCCTAAACCTCCATAGCTCACCACCCATCTCTCTTCAGGGCTTTCCCACGGTGTCCCAGGCCCTTTCTCCCAGTAGTCAACAGAGTGAACCTGAAGATAAACTCCCCGCACAGCACGTCCCACATTAAAGGCCACGTCTACGCAGATGGTGACCAAGCCGGAAGGACAAGAGCACCCTCCTGCCGGATCCTGCCGGTGGCTGCGGCCGTCTGCAATCTCCACCAGCTCAGCACAGCTCCAGGACCTTTGCGCTGTTGGTCCCATCTGCCTGGGATGTCCCACACGGCCCAGCTGCTGCTCTGTCCTCAGCCAGCACATCCTGCCCCAGGTCTCTGGCCAGAGTCCCTTTCCCCCTCTTCTCCTATGACTTCTCAAGGCTTCTTCACAGTGAAGACTATGTGGATTAAACAGTACAACTCTGAAATAGGCAACAGTGGCCATGATGCTTGTGGTGCCTACAACAACCCCAATGCTCCAGGCACGAGGCAGCTCAGAAGGCACTCACATGTGAACTTGCTAACCAGAAAACTGACTACTTAGGAAAGCGCACTCCCCCAGAGCTATATTTATGACTCAGTACCTAGAATTGTGTCTGGGTGGTCATACCAGCCAGTGTAGACTCAAGCACCTCCCTTCTCCTCCTTCTTTGTGTCTTTACATATTCCTTTGTTTGTTTGTTTGTTTGTTTAAGCCACTGGGGTCTTCCTTTGTAGCCCTTTTGCTCACCAACCTCCTACCTCAGCCTTCAGAGCACTGGGCCCACAGGCCTATGCCACCATGCCCAAACAGATCCAGTGACTAACAGAGCCGTAAGGCATCAAAAAAAACCCATTCCACTTCTAGCCTGGTAAGCAGAGTCACAACTTCACTATGGCCAATGCCACCTGCACTGCCCAGGACACACACCTCTACGGCTTGGATCTATGGCTGTTTCTATAACCTGGAATACCCCATAACTCTTCCTATGAACACCATTTACTTGAAGCACTAAAAGCTATACGAAAAATCACTGGCCTGTTAAATGATCATCAGAGGCATACGCCCACACATTCTGGAATCCCAGAGCTCGGGAGGTTCCAGGCTAGCCGAGGGCTACCCACTGAGACCTTGTCATGTGTAAGAAACCCATCCCAGAAGTGTCAGGGCATGAAGGCTAGGGCTGGGCAAGCCTCAGGTGAGCAGAGACTAGACCCATATTGCTCAGACTCCAGGGGGTGAGGACAGGTGACACCAGCGAGTGAGTGAGTGAGTGAGTGAGTGAGTGAGTGAGTGAGTGAGTGATGTCCCAGTAGCCAGGCTTGGTGGCACATGCCCCACTGGACCCCAAAGCAACTGTGACAAGCCTCTACAATGGCCTGTCACCATCCCCCTTCTGCAGCCCCTCTCTCCATGGAGACCAGCCAGCCGGGCAGGTCCCTGGAGAAGAGAAGCAGAAGGACTCTGGGCCCTGGGCAATGAAGGGACCCAGCTAACAAAGGCAGCCATGGCAGCAGCTTGGCCAAACACTGCAATGCGGGTTCAGGGCCCACAGGGTCAGTAAGCAAGGAAAGATACTCGAGGAGACACAAGAGGGTGGCAGGGGTGTGATCACACACAACTCCAGAAGCCACATAGGGGCCTCCTAGAGCCCAGCATCAGTAACACTTGAGAACCAAGAGGGAGGGGCACTGGCTTCCAGGACAATGACCAGAGCACTGTATGTACCGCCACCTATTGAGCCCACCAAGCCACATCCCAAGGCCACCAGCCAATACCCGTGCATGCCCACAGTGGCAAACTCAAGCATCCCCAACACCCTCCCCTCCAGCCTGCCCCACACCTAACAGGTCCTTCCGCCTTTCGGTGTCCGGATGGTTAGAAATGTCTCCTCCATAGCCTGTTGATGGGAGTTACTCCTATAGAAGCACCACAGGACACAGGCCACCTTCCAGCAGTTCCACCTCCCCCAGCATAAGGACACCAGCCATCAGACCCCAGCATAGCCGGGCATCCCTGCTGCATGCCTAAGAGACATTATCGCCTTCCTGCCTCCATCTGGGGAAAGGCCCATCACTGAGGCACGGCTCATGAAGCCTCTCGGAGTGTGCTTACAACCGCTTCAGACACCAAGTGTGCTCTACAGCAACCCAGAGCTAGCACTCCCCTCTGCCCAGCCTGCCTCCTGCCTCCAGTTGCTGTTCCCAAGCTGCCACTCCCTCCACCCCAGGCCTGGTCTGAGCCCAGCCTTAGCCTGGGATTTCCACCTAGACTGCCTCCTGGTCTCCTGATGCCCAGGACCATACTGGTCCACTGGAGCAGTGACTCACATTTTGATGTTTTCATGGTACTGGCGTGTGTCGGACGGCTGGTTGTACAGAGGCTGCAGGAGAAGAAAGAAGTATGTCAGAGACAGATGGGGTGGGTGAGTGACAGGGTGGCATGGGGCTAGCTAGTGTCACCAGCCAGAACCCAGAGCCTGCAGCACTAGCACCATTCACTGAATAATCAAGGACATAGACACATAGCCTCTGCAGAGCTCAGCCACAACAAGTGACCTCTCCCCACTGGCCTGCAGCGGGCCACCAAGGTCTCTGCTATGGACAGAAGAAGCTGGCCTGAGATGCCAGATGCCCATGAACCCTGGGCCAAGTACCCAACTGTACACACAGTATCCACAGTGGCAGCAGATACAAACTGGAGAAATGTCTGCCTTGCAAGGAACAAGGGTGGGCAGAGCGCTGAGGACACCATAGGCTCCCTCAGCAGGGACCCACAAGCCAGGGCCACCTACACGGGAGAGCTTCAGAGCACAGCACGGGCAGTGGGCAGTCATGGGACCCAGAATGGGTCAGAAGCTGCACCAATGGTCTGTGTCCTCCATGCAATGGCTTCCTCTGCCCAAGGTATAGACCTTACACAGCCTGCTGGAGGGACATGGAGAGGCCACAGATGGAACAAGGACCCACGCACACTACCCCCCAGAGGTCTCCGCTGACTTCCAGACTGTAGACACAAGGCCGCAGGTGTCGAGCACTGGGCCTGCTGCTTTGCTACAGAGTGGTTGCTCGTGTTGCAATCACACCCACTGCACAGATGGGAAGCTTGAGGCTGGTAGCAAAACATGCCCACAGCCTGAACACTACCCCATTGCCCCTGGCTGCATCCTGCCCCCGCCTCCTCCTGTGCCCTTTCCTTACTATGCGCCCACACCTACAAGAACCTGGTGAAGTCCTGGGACCCTGGGCAGGGTACAGCCACACGAGACTCTGGAAGAACTCTCACAGCACTGGACCAGTGTGGGAGCCACACCAGCCTCCTGCCCCTAACAAACCCCTGCCACTCTGAGACAAGGCAGGTCACCTGCAGCCAGGCTGGCATCATAGACGCCAATTCTCACCCCAGGGGCAGACAGTCATGCTCAACTGCTCTCCTGGTGACAAGAGCCCATGGCCCAGCACCTCCTGTGGGCACACAGCCTGAAATGGGGAAGCATCCCTTGTCTAGGAATGGATAAAAGAGGACTAGCAGTCAGACTCACTGCAGAACTGCCTAGTGGGGATGAGGAGTCCGATACTGCTGAATGAAGAAGGCTGTAAGGCCATGCCTCAGGAGTCAGGAGCCCTGTGAAGATGCTCTTTCCTGGCACTTAGGGCTGCAGCACTTGATCCAACAGAACAAACACCACTGTGAGTGGGCAATGCTTAAGGGCTCATGCTCCAGGGACAGATAAGCCTGATTTCCTCATCTAGAAAACGGGTGCAGAGAGAGGACCCACCTCACTGGATGTGCGAACAGCTCAGAACATTCCAGATGTACTGACAGGTTTGCCATTGTTTGGTTGTAAAGATGGCGAACCGTCCTACTGGGGCAGGAAGGGGTGGAGGCCATGATCACTGACCCCTGCACAGGGCAGTGAGCAAAACATGTTCCCAGCATGGGAGGACAAAGGGACATCCACACCCAAGAGGGCAGCAGGGGACAGACCCCAGCCTGCTTTCTGGGGAGTGAGGACAAAGTTGTGGCCCTAGGCACTGAGAGGCTCTGCTGCCCCCGGTGAACACCTTGGAGGGAAGCCTGAGTCCTGAAGCCATCTTCACGGGGGCAGAGGACTGGACCTGGGGAGGGACAAGGACACTGGGTGACTTGCACTCTGATGCAGAGGGCATGACTGCCCTCCTCATTAAAGACAAGTGGTTACAGAGGCACACTGGTGCCCTGGGCAGCTGTGGGTGTGGGTGCCCTTCAGCCTGGCCACAAGCCAGCTTTGGGGTGACCAAGCTTGGAGCGACAGCCCACGCCACAGGGACACTGAGCTCTCAGAATAACGCCTCGGAGCAGGAAGGAAGCAAGTGACTCAGAGCTGTGCCGAGGAGAGGCCCCAGCATCCCATCACCGCCTCCCGCATGGTCAGCCTGGTCCCTGCCCAGCACAGGGCCCTCTTGGGACACACTGGGCCATGGGAGTCATATACACAATGCCTTCACAGGTCTCCAAACTATACCTCTCAAGGCAGAATCTCTGAAGCCCCCAACTCCCCTCTTTCTCCCTCTGGGGCACAAAGAGCAAGATGGTCACTACCTTGTCATTGTTGTGCCAAGGTTCCTGAATGCACTCAGTACCTGAAGAGGGGCCTAATTGTCCTAGTTAAGTTTAATTGTGAACCTGATGCCACCTAGAGTCACCTGAGAGGAATATCTGGATCGAGGAATTACCTAGATCAAAGTGGCCTACGGGCATGTCAGTAGGGGACTATAAAGTGATGCAGAAGGGCCCAACCTTCTGGTGGGCAGCATCATTCCCTAGGCAAGTGGACCCAGGTTATATAAGGAAGACAGCTAAGCATGAACTTGTGAGAAAGTCAAAAAGATTGTTCCTCCATGGTCTCTGCTTCAAGTTCCTACCTGAGTCCCCACCCAAACTTCTTTCAATGATAGACTGTGACATATAAGCAGAAACAAACCCCTTCCTTCCCTAAGCTGATTTTGGTTCAAGTGTTTTATCACAGCACCAGAATTCATAGTGGCCCAGTCACCAAAGCCTGAGTCATCAGCACCCAGGCAGGTGCACACAATGTTAGCCCTGCATTCACATGGCAGCCTGGTGAAGACTGGCCACACTTCCCTCTCTGTGACGCTGGGCAACGCACCACCTTCCAGAAAATGAGAATGGAGGTGGTACCCAGAGACCTATCACAGCAAGTGCGCATCAGCAGGTGACCCCACACAGTCCCCACCATAGGCCATTCATCCCCCACTTCAGTCCAGACAGCAAAACCTCCCGGGACCCCCTAAATCTATCTAGAAACAAAGAGGAAAGAGAGGCTTGAGCCTGGACAGAATGGCAAAAAGGGGAAACAGAGGCGAGACACACTCCCTAGTGGGAATGAATACACAATGGGGCAGCCACCTTAGGAGCCAGCCAGGGACTTCTGGATAATAAAACAACACAGGTGCCAGCCATTCCACTCCTAGGCACAGCTCACGAGAGACAACTGCTGCTGTGCCCGTTCTTGTGGGGTGGCTTTGTCCCCAGGAGACAAAAACAAAAGGCCACCCAGTGCCATCACCTGAGAACGGAAAGATAAAATGCCTTCCAGAAACAATGGAATATGAGGCAGGCCTGAAAAGGGAGGAGGCACCAATAATGCCAACAATGTAGGGAACGTGAGGCCCCCCAGGCTGGGGACAGAACAAAAGACCATGGTCTGCATGGCTCCATTCAGAGGGAGTGTCAGAAGGACCAAGAGCAGTGACACAGGGCTCCTTTAGACCATGGTTTCAAACGCATCTCAAAGGCTGAACTGTACCGCGGGTGGCACAGCTTGGTGACCAGGAAGCGAGAGTCCCCGTGGTGGCTCAGCAGCTCTGGCCAGGTCCCAGGTGCAGGAAGGGGTCATAGAGCCCACTACAGTCAGGACAGGAGCTTTGGGAACAGACTCTTTGGGAACAGCCTGTGTTGGGCTGCACCATGGACCCAGCCAGGAGGTCCCTACCCCACAGCCTTCAGCAAGCACACAGTGTCCAGGACTCATCTATACCCAGAGAGTTCTTGCACTCACCCCAGACCCACATTCCTCCTGTGCACCAAGAGCCCAGCAACACCAGCCTGCAGTCTGTGCGACCCAATGCTGCACCACAGGGGGAATGTCTGGGCAGTAGGGGACTGACTCTTGTGCACCACCCCCTCCAGCGGGTCCCCCGAGGCTGGCGCTGCTTCCCACCCTGCTGTGACACAGTTGAGACCAGCAGGACAACGATAATAATCACTGAAGTCACAGCCACCCTTCCCACCACAGGCAGGCACTGTCCCAGGCAGAAGCACTGACAAGTCAAGAGTCTTAGAGAGGGTGACACAGCCATCAAGCTCAGAGAAGGGAATCCAGATCAGTCAACCAAGGGGTGGGTGTTCATATGGACCTAGAGTGGCCATAGGCCGGCTTCAGAGGCAGGGACAGGCTCACTGCCTAGCAGCCACTCAGAGTTATCTGTCACATCCTTATCGGGAGGTGTTGCTTCCTGCCTGGCCCTGGGGACAGTGCTGGGCAGTGTATGACCTCCCCCTCCTCCTCTCCCGCCTCCTCCACCCAACACCTGCTGCCCAACCCACTCCTCCCACCCTGCCCAACCAAGCCTGGCTCACCAGCTCCACCTGGGGCCCCAGACCTTCCAGGATCCGATGGGCAGCTTCTGCTTTCTTCTGCAGGGCAAAGAGAAGAGTGGAATTAAAACAGGGCTCAGAACAGACTGGTACCAGTGCCTCCAGAATGAGGATAAGACCCAGTCTGCATGGAGAACTCCAGTCAACCCTGCAGGAATCCCAGAATGAGGATAAGACCCAGTCTGCACGGACAACTCCAGTCAACCCTGCAGGAATCCCAGGTTGGCCCTAGCTAGGGATGTGACCATGACTAACTAGGCTACAGTCTCACCCGCTACCTTCTGCCAGGCTTGGATGCCTCGGATGTCTGCAGATCTCAGAGCCAGAGCAGTGGAAGGGGATACCAGAGCCGTCTAGGATCTCGGTCTCACAATAGAGTGACTATTTCTGGCCTCTGTCCCCTCCCTTCACAAACCAAGACTCATTAGGAAAACAGAAGCGTGCTACAGAGGGCCCCATGGCTGTGGGGGCACCCCTCAAACAGGCTGGATCTGTCCTCTCGGACAACACACGAGGACAACATTGTGCCTCCGCCTGGCTGTCTGCCCAGACTGGGACCACCAGGACCGACTCACAGGAAGCAGGGAGTGAAGGGGGGTATGGAATGGGGGACTCAGAAGCGGCTAGAGAAGCCTGACCCACGTGCCAGGAGGCAAAGTGACCAAGCAGGTGCTGAGGAAAATTCAGGGTGCCACATAAGTCACCATCATTACCCGAGAGCTGTCCCCACGCTGAGCCAGCTGAGAGAAGACAGCCCACCCGCATGAGGCAGGGGCTGTGGGCTGTGGGCAGGCTTAAGCCGGCAACTAGACTGACCTCGTCCTAGAACAAGGGCCCACCCAACCAGGAACAGCAAGCACCCCACTCTTGGATCCTTTGTGCTGAGCTGGGACCCCGAGAACAACAACCTCAGGGCATGGCCAGGGCACAGGGCTAAGCTACAACATTAGTTCAGCTGTGGCATCTCAGTGTGTGTCACAAAGCTCTGTGGGAATCAGCACAAACTTTGTGTTTAGGTAAAAGGGTTGGCACTGAACACAGAGGCGCCCCGGGGACAGTTGGAGGAGAAGGGTCTTAGATCTGGGGGTTCTAGGACCCTGTGCCCTGTAAACCACACCCACTAAGGTGGCTAGACTCACAGCCTGTAGAGGATGTGATTGCTGCAAGGGGCTGAGTGACATCTGCTGTCCCTCCTCGGGGACAGGCAACGCCCCAGGAAGGGTGACTAGGAACACAGAGACAGCGACTGCCTCATGGCTACTCCCTCTCATACGCTCCCCACCCCAACTCCCCATCTCCTGCCACCCTGGGAGCTGCAGCCGGCTGGGCCCTGCCATCCTGCAGCCCTGCTCATCCCAGACACCCAGACGCAGCCACTTCAGGCTCTTGCACACTTGCCATGCTGCCCTAGCCATCTGCCAGGCTCCACCACCCCGAGAGGTCTCAGCGTCCCCAAATCCCTGAGATGATGTCACCTGGCCTTCTGCTGCCTGGCTTGCCCGCACACTGCATAGAGACGGCCATGGGATGGGGCTCCAGGCAGGCGGCTGCACTGCCATGCTCACCTCCCTGATGAGCTCACAGAGGACAAGGGATCAGTCCCTCACACCTGCTCCAGGACAGGACCACAGGGCTCTTAGTGGACCTACAGTGACCTGTCCTCCCAGGTCACCTCCTAGCCGGGCTCCCCAGCCACCCACCACACTGGCATACAGCAGGCTTGGACGCCACACCGACACCAGCTCTGACATACACCCGGTTCCTAGACACTATTATCTGTCATCCTTATGTGGTGCATACTCATTAGCGCTGAGCCAGGCTCGCCCAAGGGTGAGTAGGGCAACTTGAAGGTCTAGCAGGCCAGCTTTCAGGCTGTAGGCGCCTGCTGGCCAGGTGGCCGGAGGTCACAGGGACACACCCCAATCAAAGAAAGCAGACCGACCCAGCCCCTGAAGCCTCAGCTCTGACTCCAAGCACACAGGCTTGTCTAACCCTGTAGACAGGTAACCAGAGCCAGGGGGATACCACTGCTTAAGGACACTAGGTAGGGTACCCAGAGAATAAACAAGAAGTCTGGGGTTCCCTGGACATTTTGTGGGATCCAGAGACCCTGGTGCCAGGTGGAGCCAGCAAGTCCTTAGCTATCACTATATACTGCACAACGCCTTGATGTCACAGGCAAGCCCCAGCATCTAGATCAACACACACAGAGTGCACATGTGTCCATATGAGCCCAGGCTGTGCACACACAGCCACACATATGCCAAGCAGACACAAGAGCATGCCATGTAAATGCATAATGACCTCACGGGCCCACCCTAGCCCCTCCAACTGTCACAGACACACAGAAGAGCAGGTGCGATAAGAAGAGCAAAGGTGTGGCCCCGCCCATCCAGGCCCGCCCCCCCACCCACCTAGTTCCCTTCCCTGCCTGACTGTAACACACCCCTCCTCTGGCTGCTGCACAGACACCTGTGCATCCACAGAGTCCCAGGGAGGTGGAAAAGCCACTAGCTGGCCTTGAGGACAGATGTATCCAAATGCACAAGGCCTTGGACATCCCGGCCGCCCTTGCCCTGCCTCTTTGGGGATCGGGAAGGAAGGGGGGTTAAAATGTAATCCTACTGATTCCAGGGAGGCATTAGGCCCTACCGTTCTTCAAGGGAAGCTCAGCCCAGGCAGAGGGACAGCAAGGGTCTGTCTCAGTTGTTCCCCTGCTGCCAACCCCTCCCGTGCCTGGCTGTAACGCAGCCCTCAGCTAGCACAGAGGCAGAAGCAGGGGGGGTGGTCAGGGTTGGAGGGAAAGAGCAGAGGGGCTCTACATGAAGCAGGCGAGCTGAGCAAAGAGGAGCAGGAAAGAGGCCTCGAAAACGTGTCCACTGCGCTGGAGAAAGCCACTTCTCTGATTACCTCCCTCGCAGGCTCCTGGAGCCAATTCAATCTTGAGTCTGTGTCGCAGCACCAAACCTAACCTGCTGTGCAACCTCAGGCAGGTCCCCTGCCCTTTCTGAGCCCCAGTGTCTTCCTTAGCAATAAAAAACACATACCTACTTCCTACAGACCCTGAGGCACAAGCTTTGGCCCACAGAGGTTCCTCTGGCCTTCAGTTTCCTACTCAGACACAGAGAACTGGAGGCAGTCCAAAGCTTGCCAGGGAATCAGCCAATCAGAGGGTCCCCAGAGGGGTAGAGGCAGGAGAGTCCCTCCCACCCACCAGGTGCCAGGAGGCAGCAGCTCACAAGCCTGAGCCAAGGGGACGGTGGCAGCAGCAGCTCAGGTTGAGAATCAAGCCCTGCAGCTCATGAGCCCAGTTCAAATCTCACATCCATCATATCCCAGCTGTGTGGCTCTGAACAAGTCACTCCCCCTCTCTGGGTCTCAGTCTCTCCATGTATATGATGGAAATTCCTACCGTGCATACCTTCCTAGGACCAGTCAGGCAGCTAACTGGCAGTATAAAAACACTGTGCACCAAGTGTGTCGCTGGATCTGCTATGTGTGTGTGAGGTGACAGCCCATCTCTGTGACCAGCTAGCCCCTCACTCTCCTCCAGCCTGATGCCTATGTCACACAGTGCCCCATGGGCCACCCTTCCCCATCCGCCCGCTGGCTCCTGCAGGGCATACCCGGTTCTCGTCATAGATGATCTGGACCAGGCTGCGGTGCTTTGATTCTATGGGTGGTGGCGACACAGGCTTCTCGGGCTCGGGCGGCTTGGCGGCCTCCTCCTCCAACTGTTGCTGCGGGGAAGGGGACAGTGTGAGCGGTACAGGCCGGAAGCTGAGGCACTGTTCCCCCCCTTGCCCACAGCCACACACAGGAAGTCAGGCTGATCGCCATTTCCTGTGAGTCACCCAGAAACTCTGTGCCCTCCTCGGCCAGGCTCCCTGGTGGCTGTGCATCCAGCTTGGACCAGGCTTTCTAGGTTCAAATCCTGGCCCAGAGATGGGGAGACCCTCTTCCTTGCTAGGTCTCAATTCCCATCTGGGCTGCAATGAGGTGATGTAGGTGTAGCCCTGCGCTGTGTTTGCAAGGGGCCAGACATTCTTACCCACCACCACTGAGAGCTCCAGGGCTCCAGGACATGCTGCAAGCAGAGAGTAAAGCCCTCAGCCTGAAACACCATGTCTGACTCTTACAACCATGCAGCCTTGAGAAGCTACATAATGTCTCTGAACCTTGTATTCCTCCCTCAGGAATGAGGACTTACTAATCTACTGAAGGCTAAGCCAGGAGATACATGGAGAATGGTGGAGGAGGCATAGAGGAAGACTCACCAGACACAGCTTTCCACCACACCATCACCATCACCATCATCACACCATAATCAGTACCATCATCATCTTCATCATCACCACTTCAACCATGACCACCGCCCCCATCATCTCCATCACCTATTATAACCACCATCCCCACAATCGTCACCACCATTATCATGACCATCACGATCATAACCACATCATCACCCCTGCCACCATGGCCATCAACACCATCACCACCACCCATCACTATCACTACCTTCATCACTATCGTTAGCACCATTATCAACATCATCATCATCTACCACTATGATCACTATGATCAACATCGTCACCATAGTTACTATCGACATCATCACTACCACCGCCCTCACCCCCATCATCACCATCATCACCACTGCCCCCATCACTACCTCTTCCATTACCATCTGCACCGCATACATTACCACCCCAACTATCGCCACCATCAGCATCACTATCATCACCACCAATTATGCCTGCCTTCACGCTGGACCTCTCCTCCATCCCTTCCTGCTGCTGCTGCTGTCCACTTTACCCCAAAGATAGAGGCCAAGATCAGAGAGTTCACTTAAGACGCAGATCCTCGGGCTCCACCAGAGGCTAAAGCCGGATGTGATACCCTACAGAGGGCGGCATGAGTGCTATCAGAGCATTCTCCATTCTGCCTGTTCAGTCACATGGGAGCAGAGCTCCATGGCCCCAAACGGGGAAGATGAGGCAGGAACAGTCAGCACGGAAGCCAGAGGAGTCAAGCTGCCTTTGTCCTGCAGTGACCCCTGGTGGCAGCTCTCACATTCTAGCCAAAAACTGAAGCCAGGAAACAAGGTAACAAGCACAAAGGAAGGGTGAAGACCCTCCCCAGACATCAGAACAAAACACTGACCTGGGTACAGCCCTGACAGCACACCTCTCAAGACTGACCTCAGACCTCAGTTACATCACTCAGGGCTCCAGTCACTGCACCTCTCACCCTCAGTGTCTTTCTCAGTGTGGCCGAGCAGCGACACTGCATACCCTATAAAAGTGTTTGGAACATCCAAAGGGACATTGCGTAAGCCTCGGTGTGGACGAGGCTATAAAGGCCTCACACAGCTCTCAACCATGTGCTACACAGAGCTGAGCCCTGCCCCACTGCGGTCTGGAAACTCGCTGGGTAGAATGGAAAAAGCTGCAACCCTCAGGAGAAATTGCTAGGCGGCTGCACATGGTGCAGCCACTGCGGAACAGTGTATCTCAATGGCACACTGTGGAAATGGCCACGGCACACCTCACTGACACACAGAGTCACCATCGCAGGACCCGGCAAATCTATACCCAGGAGAACCAGAACAGTTACTCAAAGCACATACGACAGTGCACAATACAGCCACATGATAAAACAGTACTTTTCCGTGAAGAGGAGTGAGGTTCGTCTATGCTCTGTGAACCTTAAAATCCTTATGCTGAGGACAAGAGCCAGAGACACAAAAGGCAAATGTGTGTGAGTCCGTGTATGTGACGTGTCCATCCAGTGAGTAGCTGGACAGACAGATGTACCAGGGTGGCTCTGGGCTGGAAGGCAAGATACTGCTAAAATGGCCCTGGGTCTTTCGGGACAATGGAAGTGAGGGCTGCACAACATGGTCCATCACCAGTGAATGTAAACTTAATTTATTTATCGCCAGGCATTGGTGGCGCACGCCTTTAATCCCAGCACTCGGGAGGCAGAGGCAGGCGGATCCTCTGTGAGTTCGAGGCCAGCCTGGTCTACAGAGCATGTTCCAGGCCAGCCTGCTGTACATGGTGAGTTTCAGGCTAACCAGGGATATACAGTGAGACATGCCTTAATAAAAAAAGAAGGGGGGAGGGGCAGGGCACAGCAAGCTGACAATCCACAAGACGGAAAGAGAGAAGTGACTACCACAATTTTTCCTCTAGTATTCTTAACTACGTGACCCATCTGCCTGCCTCCTGAGTCCTGGGATTGAAGGTGTACCAGCACTGCCTGGCTAGTTAGTATGGCGGCTGGGATTAAAGGTGTGTATCACCATTGCCTGACCTCTATCACTTGTGGCTGGCTTTGCTTTCTGAATCCTCAGGCAAGCTTTAAAAAATCATAAATAATATATCACCACAATTCCCCTTTTTTGTCTAATACAAATAGAAGGTTATAACATAGGAAAAACTATATACAGTTAAGTACAATAAGTATATACAACATATGCAGGCAACATACACACACAAATGAGTATTTTTTAATTTTATAAAATACCATTCAAAACGTAATCTAGGGAAGAAGAAAGAATAAAACTAGTAACCCCAACAGCTCTAGACACTCGTCAGTCAATATACATGCATGTAGTGGTGGCTCCAGCCACCCGCAAGCCAGACCTGGAGGCCTAAAGATGCAAGTTCTCCATCAGCCTGGCATGGTTGACCTAACTGCACCAGGACCTCGCCTCCGTCTGGGATTCTGGGCCCCCATCTTAGAAGTCCTCACTGCCCTGCTCCCAGATCCCATTTATCTCATGCAAGGAACAGCCTAAAGCCCCTTCTCCACCCTGGACAGCTCAAGGTCTCTTCCAGAAAGCCTTGGTCCCTGAAGGATCTGGACTCTTTGCCGGAGTTCAGGTGTGTTGGCCTGATATGCCCAGTCCAGATGCTTCCCAAGTCAAGACACATTCCCAGAAAAAAGGCAATCACCTGCCTCGGGGCATCTGGGGGTGTGGGAACCAGCTCCTGCCTTCACTGGAGTCCCCTCCCGCCCTCACTACTCACCTGTTTCTTCTTCAGCTTGGAGATCTGCTGCTCCACCATGGTGATCTCGCGGTCCACGCGGTCCATGTTCTGGATCAGCTCCTCCTTGGACAGCCGAGAAGGTGTCAGATCCAGCTCGGGGTCAGTGTGCGGGGGACTGGGGGGTGACACAGGCTCCAGCTTGCCCGCCAGGCTACGGTCCTATAGGTGGACAGAAGCAGAGTGTGCTCACCCAAGTGACCCTGGCACCTCTTTTCCAGCCGTGACTTCAGGCTGTAGCACACCAGTTTCCTATCCCAAACAATCACAACTCTGCGTGTAGAGCCTGCCTTCCCGCCTGGGCCAGGCCACCCTTCCCACGGCTGTGTTCTCTAAAGACAAAGTCCAGGAGGCTGCAATGCCACCTGAGCAGTGACAGTCCCTACTGCTTCCTCCTGGTTCTCTCTCTCATATTCTCCCAGAACAGAAATAAGATCAACAGTGACCCCTCCAGTCCAGTCCCATATGCCCCCACAGGTACATGACAGTCTATGCAAGCAGGCTGCAGACCTAAACTGACTCAGTCAGCCATTCAGAAAACACACCTGCCACAACACACAGGAGCCAGCAGAGTCAGAGCCTCACTCCCTTGCTCTGTGCAGTGCTAGGGTTGGAACCCGGGACCTCACGCATGCTAGGCAAGCGCTCTATCACAAACCTATTGCCTAAGCCTTTTTTTTTTTAACTTTCAATCTTTTAAAGATTTATTTTATGTTGAGTGTTTTGTCTGCATGTATGTACATGCACGCCTAGTCCCTTCAAAGAAGAGGGTCAGGACCCCTGGAACTGGGGTTATAGGCAATTGTGAGCCATGTGGATACTGGGAGCCAGACCTGGGTCTTCTACAAGTGCTCCTAGCTGCTGGGCCTTCTCTCCTGGTTGCCCAGGATGTCCCTGAACTTGAGATCCTCGTGTCTCAGCCTTCCACACACAGGAATGATGGTCCTGCTCCACCCATCTCTTTTTCACTCATGGGAATCTTTCATGGGGGCTGCTGAGGGCTTCGCCTCCCTGAGGCTGAATGTGTATCTCACACACGGCCCTGCACCTGCCTCCTCCATGGTTTCCTCTGTTCTCTAGAGTCAGGGACCATCCAGGTTGTACTGGGATGCTCTGGGAACAAGGAGGTTAGAAAACAGCCTCATTCTCATCTATATAGTGCTGGGCTCCAATCCCAGGCCCGCTCTGTAGGACTCAGCTCTGACCTCAGACTCGGCGCCCCTATCGGTACAATGCAGGGAAAGAGGCAGGGGCATTTCCCCTCTACGGTGAGTTGTAAGCCTTCCTTGGTACATTCACAATGCACGGCCCAGAGTCTGGCACGCTGTTACCACTGAACTGCACTGTCAAGAAAAGTCTGTCCCTACCCTGGCTCCCAGCAAGGCCAGCCCCACCCTGCTTCCCTTTGGGCCAAGGCAGCAGCTGCTGGCAGACATGGCCAGGCAAAGTCAGCGGCTGTTCCCCACCCCCACGCAGCTGCATTTTACGGACACAGAACGCTTTATTCCTGGGAACAACTGCAGCCTGGGCAACCAGGTGCCCCACCTACCCCTGCCCCCACCCCACCCCTCTTGTAACCAGAAGAGCCCACAACTTCTATGTGTCCTCTTCCTTAGGGGGTCCCTGTCCCCATCCACTCACTCCCAGCCCAGCACATTGCCCCTGGCCCCATGAGGCCATCTAAAACATGAGGACAGAGGGACATGGCACTCTAGGACTGAGGACTTAAGGCTCTCCTCCTCAGAGAATCCTCCAGGGGACTGTCTCAATATGCATCGCAAAACAAGGTGGCGGTGAATATGATCCCGAGCCCAGCGGTCATATTATGTTTGCCCTCTGCTCTGGTCCCCACAAGCAGAAGGGAAGGAAACAGAATGAGAATAAGGCCGTGGACTGTGAGGCCAGGCAACCTGAAACCATGGACCAAACCCCTTGCAGCCCAGGATGGTCTCCAAAGCCATGCCATCTATAGAAGGTTCCGTCCTTCTGAGTCTGGGGCAGCACAGTTAGAAGACACAGCTGACAACCCCAGCCACACCACGTGGCTGAGCCCCACTTCCTGAACCAGCTGGATCGGGCTGTCTTTCATGGTGGCTCATCCTTGGGAGCAGGCATGAAATAACCCAACCCACACCCCCCCATGGTGCACAAACACACAGCAGGTCCCCACTGCTGATCCAAACACTCCCACATAATAGGCCACAAGAACAAAGGCCGTGGCCTGCGAAACACAATCACAGAAACACCCAGCAGGGGAGAATCCACCCACCAAGACAGTCTATAGGGCTGGGGGAAACCATGCGAATGACTCCTTCACAGATGTGGGGACTCTTTTGGGGGGGTTGGCGGGGGCAACACCCTGACTCTTGACTGTCCTACTGGTTCCTTCACAAACACCAAGCCAATGGTGCGAGCGAGCCAGTGACCAGCACGCCAAGATACACTGATGGCACCTGGCAGGCTAGCCTAAGTGTCAGGTGACTTTGCTCACTCGCCCTTCTGTGGGTCCCAAGCCTGAGGACAGACAAGCCCTGAGTCCAACCAGAATCCAGGTGGCAATTTAGTTCTCTCCCCAGAGTCTCCTTCCTAGTGGGTCAGAACCTCCCCCGTCAGTCAATCGGTCTCTCCCAAGTCCACCAACCAGTCCCTCCCCAGCCCAGTCAGTCAGACAGACAGACTCTCCCCAGCTAGCCAGCCTCCGCTGAGTCAGCCAGTCTTCCCTGCCCCATGCCTAGACAGAATGCTTCAAGGCAGCAATGAGAAACGTTCAGTTTCTGACAAAAGGCCTCAGAAGGCTAAGATCTGTGGCCAACCAAGCCATCCAAGCAGCAGGTTCCAGGCCAGAGTGCAGGGTCAACAGAAGTAACTGGAACTTGGGAGCACGGAGGGGGATTGCTCTCTGCTGACCTCGGACCTGTGTGGGGTGTGGGGTAAGGGTGTCCAGAGTCACACATTCTATCTCTTACGCAATCTAAGAAGCAGGATGGGCCACGGTGACGTCAGCCACCTGGGCTGAGTTCAGCCTGACGCTACCAAGCCTGGACTTCATTACAGGTGCCAGAGTTCAGGGTTTACACTTAAGCTAGTGTCCCAGGCCCCAACCACTCAAGGACTTTTCAGAGAAGGTTCTGCAGTGACATCCTCAAGTCCCCTAAAACAAAGCTCAATGAGCTCCCAAGCACTGGGAACCCTGAGCAGGGGGGCACTACTGCCAAATGGTAGGGGCCAGAAACTCCCCCAATCCCTGCTCCTGCCTCCAGCTCAACCCCTCACAAACCACATTTGCTCTGACGAGCCGTGAACATCCATCCACACCCACCCAGTCCTCCTGGAGCTTGGCTGCAGCCCAGCCGGGGCCCAGGCAGGGAGAGAGAGGGACAGAGGGTAGGACAGAGAGAGACAGAGACAGGGACACACAGTCAAGCAGACAGACAGAATGAGAGTCAGACAGGTGAAGCAGAGAGCCTAAAGGGATATGCACTGGCTAGTTTTATGTCAACTTGATGCAAGTTATAGTCATCTGGGGAAGGGCTCTTGACTGAGGAAATGCCTCTGTAAGACCAGGCTGGATGCAAATCTGTGGGGTGTTTTCTGAATTAGTGATTGACAGGAGAGGGCCCAGCCCATTTTGGGTTGGTGGTCCTGGGTTCTATAAGAAAGCAGGCTGAGCAAGCCATGAGGAGTAAGTCAGTAAGCAGCTCTCTCCATGACCTCTGCATCAGCTCCTGCCCCCAGGTTCCTGCCCTGTTTGTCCCTGTCCTGACCTCCTTTGATGATGAACAGTGATGCTATGGTCACAGTGTTTCATCACAGCAATAGTCACCCTAACTAAGACAGGGTGACAGGGACATTTGTGCCACAAGTGGCCTCATTGGGTGACTGTGAGGAAAAGACCCTCAGAAGAGCCTGAGGCTAGGACTGGGACATTCTGGCAAGCAGCTGGTGACAGCAGAGGATGACATTACCATGGAGACATCCACCTGCTACCCAGCTGTGGAGGCCCACCACTAAGAGGCCATGCACAGCCCCCCAAGGGCAGGCTCAGGGCTAACAGGGGTCCTAGGATGGGGAGAAGAGCCTCCAGGAGCTGATAGCCTGAGTCCCACCCCCCAACTCTAGCTGTTGGCCTAAGTCCCAAACAGGGATGTCCCATGTTGGCCCCATAGGGCTAGGAGGACCTTGGCACTTGACAGATCCTCAAGATGTACACTCAGTGTTAGCCTGTCTTCCCCATAGCCTTCCTGGGCATACCTCCTCCTTGCTGACCACCACATACAGAATCCCACCTAGCCTGGGGCTGCTTGATTCACCCTCTTGGGGTACAAGGCAGGAAGATGCCACCCCACTGTCCTGAGTGGCCACTCCCCCCTCAAGCCTAGACCCTAGTTGCCACCACCCCCCCAATCAGGATGTCCCTCCTAGCTTCCTATCAGCACTGAAGACAGTCCTCTTGGCCACTGGAGACATGGCAGGCACATAGACTAGACACTCATGGGGACAGGAAATGTCCATCCTGTTGGCACCAGTCACGGGAACCAGAACCACTCAGGGGAGAGGACGGGAAGAAACAATAGATAGACTGTATAAGTGGATGGATGGACAGATGGACAGATGGGGGTAGCTGTGGGGAGGTATATGTCAACAGAGCAGGAAGGCTGGATGGTGGATGGATAGACAGATGGACGGACGGACGAATGGACAGATGGGGTAGCTGTGAGAGGTATATGTCAACAGAGCAAGAAGGCTGGGTGGTGACTGAATGGGCAGGTAGGAGGTGGAAACAGAGACAAAGGGACACAGAGAACTGGAGCAGGAAGGAAACCAGCAGAGGGATGGCAGGAGGGGGAGGGAGGGGGAGGGAGGGGGAAGGAGGGAAAGGTGGAAGGAGGGGGAGGAGGGGGAGGAGGGGGAGGAGGGGAAAGGAGGGGGAAGGGGATGGCGTGGAGGGAAAGAATAATATTTGGGCAAGAAGAGATGCAGGAGGATAGAAGTTGGAGCGAGGTCACCCATCTCCCACAGCGCAGGGCTGGAGGACAGCCCAGTGGCCACACCTGTCCCAGGTCCAAACCCACTATGGTCAGCAGAGTGCCATGCCAAGAAGACTTCACAGCGTCCCATCAGGAGCTCCCAGACAGCCTTGGGTACCCACTGCCATCAGTCCAGCAAGCCTCTGAGGGAAACACAGCGGAACCAGACGCACAACGGCCAGTGTCGGGGCCTAGAGGTGGGGCCAGGCCAGGTTTAAGAAACCACAAAGATGCATAGGGGACTGGTATAGAAAGATGACGTCAGGGCTTGACCACACCAGACACTTGAAAAGGAGTTAGACTTTCCTGCCTGAGAAAGGCGTTTAAAAACCCAGACAGGACCTTGTCTGTCCTCACATGACCCAGTGATGGAGGGGGGACAGAAGCAAGCAACAGGGAGAGGTGAGAGAGGCCACTGCCACAGTTAGGGTGAGTGGCGGTGTCCCAGGGCAACTGAGGCCAACACAAGCTAGACAGTGGCTAGACCTGGCATCTCCATGGCAGGAAATGGGTGCTGGCCAGCAGGCTCAGTAGCTAGAAGAGAAGGAAGGGGGAGGGGGTCCCAGAGCAGCAGAGGGAGCTGCCTGACGTAGGCAAGTGTCAATCTGTCAGTCTGTAACTGACCTCTATCCCAAACCAGGGATGGTTTGGGGCAGGGAAAGAGGACCAGCTCAGTGTCGGGGAAGCAAATGCCATCTGTGTCCCTAACATCCTGGCACCTGCCTTAGGCCACCAGACAGGGTCCCAACCAAGCACAACAGGCTGGGAATAGGCCGGACTTCTGTAGCTAAAACATGCCAGGAGCATTCCAGAGCTCATGCCAATATCTTAAGTCTCCTATAAAGGCTAAGAGTTTAGTCCTGTCACCTGGTCCAGCCTTAAGGTGTGTGTGCAAAGCTCATAGCTGAACCCTCTACCAGCTGGGTCTGGGTCACTTAGGGTTGGCCTACTGCAGCACCTGACTAACAAGGAAGAGAGGCCCTAACCTGGGGCAGCACCACACCGGAGCGGGGCCGAGAAAACAGAAGATCAAGCCCGAGTCCGCCGTAGGCCTGTCATCAGAGTTACATGCCAGGCTTAGGCAAGGTTGTGATCTCAAGGCCTGCCTGAACCACAGAGTAAGTTTTAGAACAGCCTGATGAATTAATCAAGACCCTACGTAGAAAAACAGAAAAATAAACCATAAAAGTGAACAGGGCCCAAGACACAGACTGTCTGGTAGAGTGCTGTCCTAACACCGATGATGACAGACAACGCTACAGTCCCATCCCTAGGACACCAGGGTGGACGACCACGTAGGACGGAGCTGCGAGAAGGGTGGCCAGTGCCTCCTGAGAGTCCAGAGCGCTTCCATGGAGACGGGGCCCACCTGACTGTGCTCTAGGGCTCCTCAGGCACACGTGGCTGCAGAAGTAGACCCACCCAGCCCACCTGGAACCCAAGAAGCCAGTTAGACCCGGGCAGCAAAACCCTGATACGCCAGGCACCATGCCATCCATCCTGTCTCATCTTAAGGGACACTTGGAGTCCCCTTCCCTGGCAGTCAAACATGGGGCAGTCCTGGCTGTCTGGTCTGTTGCATGAAGCCTGAGGAATCCCAAACCACTGTCCCGCACAAGCTGTTACCTATGCAGCCCAGCCACCATGGGGCAAAGGGAATGTGCCTAAGAGGGGCATGGGGACTGATGGCATGCCAATCGGTCCCTGGCTCTCACTCCCGTCCCCAGTCATTCCAGCCAGTGCTAACAGTCATACACGGGTCCTGCCACAGGTCTGCACACGCTCCTGCAGGCGAAAGATGGCGTCTCCGTTCTTGCCATCACCGCCTGACTGCAACCCCGGTGCTCAGTCACACCCATGCCAGAGCTGCCCTTGCTCCTTCGGCCCGGCCTTTCCCTGCTTCCACCCCAGCCCCTTTCCTGCCCGTGGCAGCAGTGGCAGAAGAGTCCATCGATCTGGCTGAAGTGTACCTTGGTAAGGTCTTCGGTCCCACTGGGCTGCCCAGTGGCCAGCAGGGGCGACGGGCGCAGCAGGGTGTCAGGGAGTAGCTCCAGGCGCGGGCGCTTGCTCTCTGTGAATTCTATGTCAGGCTTGCCCAGTTCAGGCAGGAAGGTGCGAGACTCGGGGCGCAGGTGGAGCTCCTGAGACCTGTGAGAGACCAGGGATGCACATCACACAGGAGACAGAGGCTCAGGACTAAGACCCCAGGTGTCCACCTAGCCAGGTTCTCATGAGGAGCTTTGTTAGGTTACTGTCTTCCCTGGCAGGAGGGGACGTGATTCTGAGTCATGAGGTCTCATGGTGACTGCCCAGCCGGAAGACCCCACAGACCCTTCTGAGCTGACCAGGAAGGCCAAACATAAGACCCACCCCACTGCTACTGACCAACACACTACATTTTAACAAGCCCCTGGGGACTCTTACGGCACAGGCCTGAGAAGCGCTATGGAGATCATGCAAAGAACAGCACACCCAACACTATTCCTTCTCACCCTCCCTGAGCAGACATCACTAGCTGATCACAGCTCTCCTGCTGTTAACCCTGGTGTAGCCAGCAGGTAGAGAGCTGTGAGCATTCTGTCTCTTAACCACCCTACTCAACCCTGGGTGGATGGTCATAGGGGCCTCCTCCTGCTGCAAGTCCACAGCCCCTGCTCCTGGGAGACCACAGCCCTGCCGTGGCTCTAGGATGCCACCAGGAGCCCATGGCACCAGGAAGGGCTAAAGTCTGGACCCCCGCAGCTTGGCCCACAAAGTCTCGTTATCTGCCTGACAGGCACCGCAGCCTAGGCAAGGAGCCGCAGTTTCTCCTCACCTTTCACTCCCAGGCTGGAACTCAGACAGCAGTGAGGGTCGCCTCCTCTGTGGCTGGATGATGGAGCCGGGTGACAGGTGTGAGGCGTAGTCACGAGGGTGGTGTTGGAACTCCAGCAGCCCTACATCCTGTGGGAGAAGAGGATGGTGAGCAAGCCGTGTCCTTGCCACACTGCGTCAAGAGGCTCACGTGAGTCCCCACTACATCCTCAAGTCACCACTGCCACAGCGAAGCTCCCACCATGCTACTGAGCCCTGTCTAGCTAGAAGGCTGGGGTGGCCCTTCATGTAGAGGAGGGCTATAATCCACAAAATGCTGGGCTCTACACCTCCCCACAGGCTTCCCTGGGACCTGTAGCCCTCTTGTATTACCCTACTCCCCAGCTAGTGCACTCAAGCCCTGGGGGGAGGACGTACTTAAGCACAGTCCCTCCAAGGCCACAGGCTGGACCATCAGCTTACAGACCCCACCTTTACGACTGCCCACATCATCCAGCTGCTGCTTTACACAAAGGACCACGCTGTAAACGGAAGCAGGGCTTTTCTTTTGTCCTGACTGCCTGGTCCCCAATAAACACACAGAAACTTATACTAGTTATAAAATGCTCAGCCTATAGCTTAGGCTTATTATTAACTAGCTCTTACAACTTAAAGAAACCCATTTCTATTCATCCGTATTCTGTCACATGGCTGGTGGCTTTACGTGTCCTCTAGCATTCTTGTCTCCCTGGCGGCTGCTTGCACGTCTCTCTCTGACTCTACCCCTCTTCCTCTCTGTATTTTCAGTTTGACTTTCCCACCTAGCCTTATCCTGCCTCGCTATAGGCCAAATCAGCTCTATTACCAACCAATGAGAGTAATACATAGTCCCAGTGAACAAAAGGATTATATCCCCAACACCACACAGAGAATGGGTCACTTATCCCAGGTCCTGCCTATAGACAGAGGCCTGGGAACTGCCCTAGCAGAGGACTAGCATCAAGGATCCCTAGGAGCAGAAACAGATCCGCCTTCAGTGGAGACCCAGGTATCTTTGTGGACAGGAATCCCTGTGGGAGCCAGGCTCGGGCACCCCAAGGGAAGGAGGGAGAGCCAGTGCAGATGGGGCTAGAATGATGGCTCTATAAGCCCAGGGCTCAGCCAAGCAGCTGCTCTAGAGCCCCGCCTACCATGGGGAAGACGAGCTGGCTTACACAGTGTGGGGAGGGAGAGGCAGGCTGGACCCTCCAGCTTTGAGCAATGCTATTTTTCACTGGTCTGGCCAATGCTGGGTCGTCAATGTCCTCCATCTCAGTCTACCTGTGCAGCAAGAGTGCTGGAGAGTCAGCCCCAACCTTCAAGTCTCTACTCAGTGCCAGGCTCCCTCACTGCTCACCAGCATCCTGATCTTACCCTGGATCCCACAGTCCCTAAGGAAAGCCTTCCTACATCTTTCACATGGGCCAAGATCACCTACCTACCTTATCACTGTGGAAAAATAAGAGAAGAGGGAGGGGAAAGAGAGCAGTGTGCACATAAACTCTGACTGGAAAAACAGAGCACCTTTACCAGGCAGTCACTTTGTTCTGTCTGCACGGACACTTGCCTGGTTGCACTGCAGCATGACAATTGCATAGTGAAGTCTAACTAGGTTATGGCTACAGATAGCAAGAACTGACTACAGGTATCATTCATTCTCTATCATCTATCCATCCATCCATCCATCCCTCCCTCCCTCCCTCCCTCCCTCCCTCTTTCTCTAAGACAGGATTTCTCTGTATAGCCCTAGCTATCCTGGAACTCGGTTTTTTTTGGACCAGGCTGGCCTATAACTCACAGAGATCCACCTGCCTCTGCCTCCTGGATGCTTGGATTAAAGCTGTACGCCACCACCCCAGCCTTTTCGGTCCTTTTTATTTTGTTTGCTTCAGATGTTATCTTTAATGATGTGTCCATGTGTATGTCTATCCATGCTGCATACATGCACTTGTGTGCAGTAACACTGGATTCCCTGGAGCTGGAGTCAGAAGCAGTTGTGACCTGCTGGCTGGAAATGGGTGCTTGAAGCCAAGCTTGGGTGGTCTGGGTGAGCAGCAGCACTGGCTGAGGTGTCTCTCCAGGCCTTAGCTCTGCTCTTAAAGCAGTTCTTACTGTAGAATCAATGGCACCAGTCAGGTGCCCTGAGGAAGCAGCTGGGACCCTGTCCCTGGAGAATCAGCAACTGGGAAACCTGAGACCAGACTTCAAGGGAAGGATCTGGGAGGATCTTTCAAGACCCTGAAGGAGAACCCTGCAGGGTAGAACCCACAGGAAGGACATGGATACCAGGATGACCCTACAAGGGGGACTTCAAGGGGAAGGAGCAGACAGGAGGACTCTGAAGGGAAGACTACCTCAAGTTACCACAGCCTAGCCCTCTGCACAAGCTAACGTGACCCCCAAGGCAGCCGGCCACACAAGGGGGACATCATGGGTGGTCTGAGAGAATGAGCAAGAGCAGCTCCTCCAGGTTGCACTGCAATGACAGCAGGGGTTCTGCAGTCTTGGCTGGCACTCCGCGGGGAAACGGAACAGCCACAGGTGGCCGGCTCCCTGCCCTCCCCACAGAAGACTGCAGCAGGCCTGACTCACGAGAGAAGGCTCACCCTAGTGCCTGTATATTCCCACAGCAAACAGAGCAAGTGGGGAGCCCCAACAAACAAGCACGCTGTACTCCAGAACAAGTCCAGTAGAGATCCACACAAGACAGAAGGAGGCAGGGCTCAGCCCCCTCCTGTGAAGCCCGGGTTCACAGGTCACTCCAGCAGAACTTTCCCTCACTGGTACATTGCTTATCCTGGAAGGACTTGGCCTGTCCCTCCTCTCCGGTCCCAACGCCACTGTAGGTATCTGACTCCCCACTTAAATATGGGCCCCTCTTACTTCACTTTTGCTCACTGTTCCAAGAGAGTGTCAGTTTCCCAAGGTAAGAGGGCTTCTTCACCTTCATAGCTCTGTCCCCAGGGCTTCAGAGCTGGCAGGTGACAAACCTAATCAGCATTTGTCGAATGAATGAATGAATGAATGAATGAATGAATGAATACGTTAATGAATGACTACATAAATAGATGAGGACCCTAAGGCAGAGCTCTGACATGTACAGGTGGTACAGCACCCCATCGGTGTCCCTACATAACATCCAGTCCCACTATGCCCTATGTGGCATAGCAGAGTTTGTGACTAGACAGCAGCCTGCAGGTTCATCCCGTAGCAGAGTCAGCCAGCTAGGCCTGGTGCCAAGGCTGGAGACAGCCAATTCCATCAGGCGTCCCTGGCACACACCTTGCCAGGCGATACATGGCTCTTGCATCCCATTGCCAGACGCATACTGGGGGGTGCGGGGACACAACATGACGACACACCACGGGATCTGGGCAACACAGCCTGGGGTTTATAGGAAGCCTGTCACCCCTGGATGACACGAGGGGACTGTCTGATGCTGGAGGCAAGGGGTGTCTGCTGTCTGGGCTCCTACTATCACATCGCATGAAGACCAGCTAGTGGTCCAAGTATAGCATCACCTCAGTAGACCCCCAACATTTCATGAAGCGCCGCACTTGGCTGAAGTGAGAAGACAGAGCCTCCAGGAAGAGAGAGAGGCCTGCTACAGCATGTGCAGTGGCCCAGACCCATACACCAGCTCCCCCGGCCCAGGACGCCGCAGAACCAAGCTGGTCATGGCACCAGGGCTGGACACACAGCTCCCCAAGATGCTGTGCTCTCCTACAGCGCATCGGCCTTGCTATGCCTCAGTTTCTCTTGCTCCCAAGACAGAAGTGTTGAGTAAGCACAGCACAATTTCTCGTGGCTGTGTTCTACCCACCTTTGGGCTACAGAGAGGGGGAGGTGGGGGTGGGGGCGGGGAAGGGTGGGGGTGAAAGGGAGGCTGACTTGAGGAAGGGCCTTGGGGAAGGCTGGGGAAATGAGGCTGGGGAGAGGCTGAGAGAAAGGGCTGCAGGAAGTCAGAACTATTGGAGGAGCCTAGGGGAGGGAAGGGGGTTGGAGATCAGGGTCATAGGAAAGGCTGCCAGAGAGACCGGGGCTCCAAATCACAGACCCCAGCCTTCACCCACGGTCCCCAGGAGTCACAGAGGTCTGCTGATGGCCCAGTAAGGGCTAGAGGCCAAAGAGTAAGCATGTTCCCTGGACAAGGAGCACGTGGGCCCCACCAGGGGCCAGACATGTTCCAACCTGTAGCCATCCCATCAGGTCACACTCACCCCAGTGGGGTTAGTAACCACTAGGTCCTGTCTGGCGACATCCTGTGTCACCAATGGCCCAGCAGGAGAGCAGGAGGTGCCTAGGGTCAGCCAGTGACCCTAAATGCTGGGGAGAGGACACAGATGGGGCAAAGATCAGGAAGCAGGTGAGAGGGAAGAGGCTGAGGCAGCTAGAAGACTCCCTGAGGCTGGGCAGGCACAGAGAAAGTAGTCGAGGATATGATTGGAAGAGGGCGCGGAGGAGGCCACAGGCATCAGCCTGGAGGGCAGGGAAAGCCCCGGGCAGGGCCTCTCCAGGAAATGGCTGGAACAGCATCAAGTTAGGGTGGCAGCAGACAGCCACATGTGCCGGCATTCTTGTGGGTGCTCTTGTCACCCTCACTCCACAGGTGACAGAACTGAGTGACCCCAACATTAGATGGCAGGTCTGAGTTCCCCGAAGGCCTGGAGAGCTAATATCCTTGCTGCTGATGACAGCTGCGACCCAGTATCTCGAACAGCGGACGGCCACTAAGTGATGGCGTCAAGGTGTGGACCAGGGAGTACAGCACCCCAACACTGCCATGGCTGCTCCCCCAAGCCCCCCCCCCACTCTGAGAGAGCTGTGCACTACACAGGGAACACCCTTCACCACAGCTGGCCCTACACCTAGGCCCTCAGGTGCATTGGACCTTGAGCCCAGGCCCCGAGGCTCATGGGTAAGCATACTTGACTCACAAGTAGAGAAGTCTCCCACACAAATACAGCTCTGTCACTGAAATGGACCACACCATCCAGGAGGGACAGACATGAGCCTAGACACACATATATACTCAAGACAACTCCCACCCAGCTGTGACCGATACCATCTCACGCCCCTTCGGTCAACAGCCAGCAACATGGTATACAACAGGCACACAATAATGGTCCACAGAGAGGACTCACAGGCCCAGCTTCTTGCTTGCTCCACATTAAGAGAGCAGGAACAGGACCCTGGCAGGGGCAGACACTGGGCCTCAGTCTTACAGCCGAATAGGCACCAAAACCTTGACAGTTAGGAAGAAGGGAGTGCGACCTCAGTCTCCCTCCCCAAAACCACCCCAGTCCCAAAAAGAGCAGAAATGAGACTGGCTGGGAAGGGCGTGTCCACTGTCGATCAGATTCGGACAGAGCATCCACTCAGCCTAGCTCCAGGCTCCCACACTGAAATAAGGACGTGGTCTCAAAATCACAGCTGCCCTGCCTCCACTGCAACCAAAGCTGAGATTATAGGCCTGCGTCACCACACCTGGCTGCCACCAGTGCCCCCACTGCAACCAAAGCAACCGGTTTCAGAAGATGCGTGAGAGCAGCAGAGGTGGTACTGGGCAGACATGCCCCTTACCGTGTGGGGCCGGGCTATCTGCACCGGGTAGGAGATGCCATGGGGCGGGTAGCGGGGCTCTGCAGCCCGCCACGTCTGTGCCACAGGCTGTGTCGATCCTGACATGGTGGTAGGGTCCGGGTAGGCTTTGAAGCACAAGACACTGCTGACCGAAGCTAGGACTAAGGGCTGGTCTCGGTCATCTGATGGCAGGCGACCTTGTCACAGGTGCCTGTGGAGAAAAGAGAAAGAAAACACGTTGAGCCCGAGGCAGCTGGTCCATAGCCAGAGAGGCCTAGTCCTTCCTCCTGCCTGAGCCTCCATCCAAAGACAGTCCAAAGCCACAACTCCTTGCCTACCACAAGCCCTATCTACCCCCTAGCCAGGGCCTCAACCAGCAAGCTTGGGAGCCTCGATGCGAACACCATACCAACAGCCATCAGATGGCTCCCACACCCACAGCAGCCAGCCAACTCACTCCACAGCCGGGACTTTCCAGGTCTCCGGAGCAAAGTTCTCCAAAAGCCCCTGGCAACTCCAGCTCACAGCTGCCGGGCCTGTCCCTGGATTGTGTGCTAGCAGAGCGGTACACACCAATGACCCACTATGGGTCACAGGGTGACCCACGCAGGGCAAGGCTGCCCTGTTGTCCTCAGCCAGAGATTGCCAGGTGATGTGGACGGGACATACATTCGGTTGACCTGATGCCACTAGGAATCAGGGGACTGGATGCTGAGGGTCACACCAGGGACATCTAGGAACAGATACAGGCATCCTGGACAGGAGGGCCCCAAACAGATCCAAGATGCATAAAGGCCACCTTCAAGGCAGGACTCCACGGCTAATACAGAAAATGCTCTAAGAACAGGCCAGTGGTCTCAAGGATGGGAACCTAGAGGCTGCAGGAGCCAAAGAGGCCAGTGGGAAGACTGAGACCCACCCCCACGGTCCTTCTTCCCTTTCCCTGCCAGTCCCTCATGTAAAACGCTCTTCCTTTTCACACTGCAATCCGGAGCTAAGGCTGGGCTGTATCCCAAGAGGTCAAAGATAAGAAGACTGGCCCGGTCCCCAGTTCCCTGTAATTTCATCCTAGCCCTTCCTCTTGGGCTGACTTGTAACTGCTCTCCAAGCAGCAGATGGCCTATGTCAGCCAGTGAATGGCCTCATGCAGAGAAATGAAGCAGGGAAGGTGAAGACTGCAGATCCAAGAAGCCATGAACACCGCCACCCGCCTCCAATCTGGAGGTCCTGACTATGCACCAGTCCCTACCCAACCAGTGTGAACTCACGTTCCAACCCCAACACCCACATGACAAGTCACAACTGCCTGTAACACCAGTTCCAGGAGATCTGACACCCTCACACAGACAGACCTGCAGGTAAAAACAACAATGCACATTAAATAAAAAAAAATTTTTAAAAAGAATTCTGAGCCAGGCGTTAGTGGTGCATGCCTTTAATCCCAGCACTCGGGAGGCAGAGGCAGTCGGATCTCTGTGAGTTCGAGACCAGCCTGGTCTACAAGAACTGGTTCTAGGACAGCTTCCAAAACAATACAGAGAAACACTGTCTAGGAAAAAAAAGAATTCTGACTCACCCAGACTACCTACCACCAAAACGAGACATGTCACATTACACTTACCAACAGAAGCTCGGGAGGCCCACATGACAGCTATCCTGCGCCTGAGGCACAATGCGGCCTCGGGAGGGACAGGGGTAACCAAGTCTACACCCCACTCCTGGCTTCAGAGCTGGCAGCACCATCAGTGCAACCTCACCCTGAGGTTGACCGTCCTGTGTCACATGGTCCAACGTCACACACACCATGGATGGCCTCAAAAACCACCATTTTATTTGGGGATGCACAGGAAGGTTGGGAGGTGGAAATGGCCCACAATGTCTACTCTCTTAGCCTGTGGGAGCGTAGGCACGGAGCCCACAGGCTCTGCAGGCAGACAGGATGCCTCTCTAGGCCACCTCTGGCTTCTGCCCCAAGATTCACAGGGCATCCACTAGGGACACAGGCGCGGCATCATCCAAAGTCACCCCACCAACGCCTTCCCAGTGTCCTCCAAAGCCCGAGATGCTAGTGACCCCACCCCATGAGTTTACCTGACCCACATTTCACCTCTATGACTCTCAGCCTTGTTTCTAGCCCACTCAGAAAACAAACAGCAACTAGGAAGACAATTTGGCAGGTCCTCAAAACCTGCAATACACAATTACTGAGGATCTGCAACCCCACTCCTAGGCACCCAAAGAACTGACCAAGAGTCAAGCAGATACATACATGCTCAGAATGGTCCCATTCCCAACAATCACAACGCAGAAATCTCACAAGCATGCCCTGCCCATTAAATTGCAAGTGCTTCTTAGCCAAAAAAAGACTGGGGTCACAGACCACACTAGACGACCCCAGGATGCCACACTGAGTAAAAGGAGCCAGACACTTAAGACTTGGTCACACAAATGTCCACAATGGGCACAGCATGGGTCTGGGTACCCAGGTTCTGAGAAGGAGGCGGCAGAGGGTTTCCAGGTGGAGAACATTGCCACAGGAGGAGCCCAGAGGTAAGACGAGATGTTGTGTGTCTGCGAACCGAATTGGATGGGGGGCGGGGATGTCGTTCAAGGTCCCACAGACCACAGTTCCAGGAGTGATGGGGAGCCCCCGACAGTGGCTAAGGGACACCACAGCATCAGAGTGTTTTGCCATGGGTGGCACAGCTGACAAGCCACTATAAGCGTCCAAGAAGCTAGAGACAGACTGTGGGTCGGGGCGACAGCAACTGGGAAGGGAAGTGGGCAGATGGCATCGGGCAGGAGGCAGACAGAAGCCTTACAAGCTTGCAACAGGGGAGGGACATCTTCACACACCTCACGGTGGAGTGGCTGCAGCCTGGGGACAGCAGGGTCCTGGCTGCACAGTCTGCCAGGAAGAACCTGTCTAGGCAGAGCCAAGGGAGGAGCCTGGAAGGCAGCAAGCTCTCAGGAAGGCACTCTCAACAGAGCAGCTTCTGTGGAACAAACAATGTCACCCCACTAGGGCAGGGACTGGCTGAATCCAGGGATGTGCGCCACTACAGTCACAGCCTCCGGCAGGGACATCCTCCAAAGCCATCCTGTGTATCACCGACCTTAAGTGACATGCATGCCCATATCCCGTGAACACTTCTTTCTCCTCAGAGGGCTGGCTGCTTGGCATAACCGGTGCTCGGCCAAGGACTGTGCCCAGCACAGGCCGGCCAGCCTGTGGTTTAAGGGCCCACATGTGTCCCCACCCCACGGCCGCAACCTCCTTCAGAAACAACAGACGGGTATATGGCACGTGGGGACACAGCCAGTCATCAGTGGCCTGCCTCAAACACAGGAGATAGAATAATGGCGAACAGCTGGACAGCAGAGAGAGGTTGGGGTGACAGCCATGGCTGTGTACAGCATTAGCCTGCAACTTCCTGGTAACAGTCAGCACCCAATGACACCTAACTTACAGCAGAAGGACAGGAGGTGACAGGGACCCCCCCAGAGTTAGAATGTGTGTGGCCGTCAGAGGCCAGAGCTCACATCCACCATAGGCGCCAATGTTCTCTGTGCAGCCTTCAGAACCCAGGCTGTCATGTTCCCTTGGCAGGAGACCCCAGTAGGACATAGGACAGCCCAGTTTCCACAGACACCAGGAACCTGTGGACAGGAACCACGATGGTCACCCACTCCACCTGACAGATCTGCCTCCATGCTCCAGTGTTTCTGTGGGAACCAGAGGCCACCAGGCACACCATATGGCCACATGAGCGTGACCTCCAGTGATGCCTTCTAGTGGGGTTTCCGAGCCTTGACCAAATCTAGGCATTGGGTACAACTTGAAAGGCTCCAACCCCGTGGCCCACATCATCTCCCCACCACACAGAACTTTCCCTCCCCAAGCCCCACCCCAGCTGGGATCAAGCAATGGAGACTGAAGGCCAAGGAGCAATCTCTTAGTCACTAAGCAGAAATGATGCCCACAAGAGCTCCCCTTTCAGCAGAACCACATAAACCACTGTCCCAAAGGGCTGAAACAAGGCCAGAGACCAACTCCACCCTTCATGCCGCTGAGCAACCTCGGGCTGAGTACAGACCTCTCTGTGCTTCAGCTGGGGGGCTTCACGGGTAAGCTGTCCATGAAGAGGTACAGGGCAGTCTTTCCCCCTGGAAGCTTCCATGTGGCCCTCCCAGGGCCCCATTTCCCGCACTACTGCAGTGAGTCCCCATCACCGGCCCTGTTCATGTGTGTTGATGTGGCTGAAGACTGTGAGCCTGTCACCGAGCACACCCAAACCATTCAAAAGATGGGGAAACCAAGGCACAGAGAGAGGCTCCCCTCTGCTCAAGATCACACAACACCCCCAGCCTTGGCCACTGAAGAAATCTGGATAAGCATGGGCCATAGGTTTGAGTCCCAGCTTAGCCACATAGGTGGCCCAGGGCTGTGGCCAGCCAGCAGTTCCTGCCAAGGCAGACAGAGACACTTCCTCCTCATGGCTTTCCTTGCATTTAATTTTAATTATCACTGCGCGCGTGCGTGCGTGCGTGCGTGCGTGCGTGCGTGTGTGTGTGTGTGTGTGTGTGTGTGTGTGTGTGTGTGTGTGTGTGTGTGTATACAAGCTTGGGTGTCACCCCTCAAGAGCTAACCACCTTGTGTTTAGAGACAGGATCCCTCACTGGGACCTGGAGTTCCCTGAGGAGGCTAGGCCCATTGGCCCGTCTATCTCCCCAGCGCTGGGATTACAAGCACATACTGTCGTGCCTGGCTTTTCACCGTTGGTCTTAGAGATGGAACTCACGTGACAAGCACTTCACCGACTGAAGCACCTCCCCAGCCCACTATTTAGTTTTAAAAATGGGAGAGGGCAGCTAAACCACAGCTGGTGATCCTTGGACATGGAGTTCTCAGGTCCCCACACCAGGTTCCCCAGCCACCCTGGGTAGCCTCCGGTTTCCATCATACCCCTCCTGCACTACTCGTGGCCACTCTGCGACAACTTGGTAGCGACACCAAGTGGTTCTGAAACACTCCTTATTCTAAGTCCTGTCACAGAGACTGGCAGGGAAGCAGGTCACCAGACAAAACCACTAGGGACACAGGCCTATCTCTCAGCAGGGATGTAGCCTAAGACCCAGGTCCTTACATTACAGGCTGAGCAGCCAGGCCTGGCTCCTTCATCTCCTACACAAGAGACTCAAGGGGACAAA